TGCTGAGGCAGAATCTTTTGCTGAACACATAGGTTGTGTCTGGCTGCCTTGTTCTGGGGATCCCATCTCTACCCCCACAGCGCTGGGATTATGTGTAGATCACCATACCCACCCAGCATCCATATGGATATTGGGATCCAAATTCCACTTTTCACACTTGCACAGCAAATGCTTGACTGACTGAACCACTTCCCCAGCATGGCTTACAGCAAGCAGACACCCCCTGATTCTCCAGCTACTGTCAGTGTTGGATGCTCTTGGGAACCGTGTTTGATAGGGACACTGAGTCTGAGTCAGGATACTGATTGCTTAGTATTCCCATAGCAAGCAGAGGCAGAGTGGGCCCTGGACGTTTACACTAGGGCCCCCCCCATTCTGTAGCTCACAATGGTCTTGACTCTAGCCCAGAGATTGGCTGCAGAGGGCCTGAGAGCTAGCTGTAAGACATGGACCCAGCCTTAAACATTTTCTTGAGTGTCCATATGGATGCAGCTTTGTGAACATGGCAGAGCCTGGCCCAGAGTGCTGGGGACACCTCTGGGGCAGGGTATGAATGTGGAGTGTGGACTCTGAGCTCCTGCCTCGCCCATCAGGAGTATGTGGGCTGGTTAATCCTAGGGGACAGGACCTCAGAGGTGCTGAAGGCAATGTTGGGCTGCTTCCCATGGTTCTTTAGAACTTCTCTCACCTGTCCCATGTTCTCTTTCAGATCTTTCCAGAACAGCAGTTCCAGTAGCTATGGCTCCATCCTGGGTGCCCGCCGTGGGCCTCACTCTGGTGCCCAGCCTGGGGGGCTTCATGGGTGCCTACTTTGTGCGCGGTGAGGGCCTCCGCTGGTATGCTAGCCTGCAGAAACCCTCCTGGCATCCACCTCGCTGGACTCTGGCTCCTATCTGGGGCACCCTGTATTCCGCCATGGGGTAGGTGGTTGCAGGTGCCACCTTGCAGTATCCCGTTCCCCATGGAATCGGGCTAGGCATTGGGCCCCGTGTGGAGGGAGGCCCCAGGACACAGCGGCATTATTTCTCTCTTGGGAAAGGGAGGCTGGCGAGGCTGCCAACCTATGTGTTGTAAGACTGAACCTTTTCCTGCTTGCCTCTGGGAACCCTGCCTGGTTTCACTGAGGTTTCCCCATGTATAAAGGTTAGTGTGGACAACAGCAGCTTGTGCCAAGACAAATGGGTGGCGGCTACACCCTTTGGTTTGTCTGTCCAACACCAGAGCCTGGTGTGGTTCATCCCCAGAAGCCCTCTGCAGTCACTCATGGCCCCCCAAGAGCCTGTCTAAGCTGCTACTTGCTTGTCCCCTAAACTCCAGCCTTTACCCTGTAACCACACACTGACTCAGGGTCTCAATTCAAATCTCCATAGCAATCTTAGAAGAAACCAAGGTCCAGAGAGGGCAAGTAGCTTCTCTGAGATCACACAGAAGTCCGTGGCAGGGCATACCTGAGTGGTCTTGGGAGCAGAGCACTTTAGCCTTGCCCTGGGATGTCCTGACACATTGTCTTTTTCAGGTATGGCTCCTACATGGTCTGGAAAGAGCTGGGAGGCTTCACAGAAGAGGCTGTGGTCCCCTTGGGTCTCTACACTGGTCAGCTGGCTCTGAACTGGGCGTGGCCTCCCATCTTCTTTGGTGCCCGGCAGATGGGCTGGGTAAGTATGGCCATAGCTTGATCCTTGGGTCACTGGTGATGGCCCTGGGAGAGCAGGTGAGATCGAATTCCAGGCCGGTGGCTTGTAGCCCCTTTAGAAGTTCCATGAGTCAGGTGCAGTGGGGTCCCTGGAGTCCCAGCTCTCTGGAGGTTGAGGTGGGAGGATCAGTTGAGCCCAGGAGAGGGCTAGGCCAGTCTAGGTGACAGTGACCTGTGTACTAACACAGCCTCAGTTCAGCTTCCCTCCATGGAGAAAGTTTGGAGGGCCAGGTTGAAGTGGGTGGGGCTGTGATCCTGGGTATAGAAGCCACGACGTGAGACACCAGCATTACATCTGGTGCTGTGCATGCTGACACATGGGGACAAAGCCTCTCCTTAAAAATGTTCTTGTCAGGTTCTGTGATACATGCCTGGCCTGTAGTCCCAGCAGAGGCAAGAGGATTGCTTTAAGTCTGACAGCCTGGTTTACAAAGCTAGTTCAAAGTCAGCTAAGACCACACAGTGTGCACACCACAGCAGCTTGTCCCCTGACACTGGCCTCTTGGGTCAGCATTGACAATGCTGTATCTTCAGGCCAGAGGCCTTCCAGCTGCTGCTTTTCTCTTCAACAAGCTGTGCCCCCTCGGGGCTGTTTCCATACATGGCAGTCAGGCAGGGACTTACAGACAAGGAAACTGAGGCTGAGAATAGAGAGCAGGGGCAGCCATCACACCTCAGGGGCACAGTACGGCTAATCGAGACTAACAACTTTAGACCCATCAGGGTCTTAGCCTCCCCACCTCCTGTCTCTGCAGGCCTTGGCAGACCTTCTGCTTGTCAGTGGGGTAGCAACAGCCACAACCCTAGCCTGGCACCGAGTGAGCCCACCAGCTGCCCGCCTGCTCTACCCCTACCTGGCCTGGCTGGCCTTTGCGACCATGCTCAACTACTATGTATGGCGTGACAACGCTGGGCAGCGAGGTGGCTCACGGTTCCCAGAGTGATTGCACCCTGTCCACCAGGATCACAGCACTGCCAGCCGGGCACCATGGATGCTGGCCATCATGCTTTCATGACCACTGGGCCTGCTGGTCTGCCTGGGTCTTGGCCCAGGGAGCCACCAGATAGGTCAAGGTGGTCAGTGCCAAGTCCCATACAGGGACAGTTGTACCTGCCTTTCTGCACTGCTCCAAGCATGCTCTAAGAGCATGAGGCTTTTAAAGCTAAATAAAGTCTTTAACGTCATGTGTAGACTGTGTACATAGTGGGGCGGCTGGTCTATGGGATAGCAGAGGCTATGGCCATGCAGCATGTCTCTGCTGCTGAGACTGGGCCTTGCTGGGCTGTATCACCCAGTTTCTACACCTACGGTGGCTCACAAACACCCAACTGGCAGAAGAGGGCGTTAAGTCCTAGGAGGAGCAGACAGAGTCATCTTGCTGGCCCAGACCTGCCTAGACCAGGAGCTGTCACCTACCCATACCCAGGGTTCCATTTGGGTGATCTACAATCTCTCTTTCTTTGTTTTTCCAGACAGGGTTTCTCTGTGGCTTTGGAGGCTGTCCTGGAACTAGCTCTTGTAGACCAGGCTGGCCTTGAACTCACAGAGATATGCCTGCCTCTGCCTCCCGAGTGCTGGGATTAAAGGCGTGTGCCACCAATGCCTGGTGACCTATAATCTCTTTAGGCAGCAGTTGGGAGGCAGGACCAGGTGCCTTTCATGCAGGCAGCGCCTCAGCCCCCATCCTGCTTCCAAATGCCTTATGGGTATATAGGGTCCCCGCAGGGCACCCACTCTGGACACTTCTAGGGACAATGCATGTGAGACTTGGAGGGGCTCCTTGGCAGTACTTTGTCATGCAAGCAGGTCATACAGCCCCAGCAGTGCTCCATAGCACGGTACCTGCCAGCCACAAAGCAATTCCGCTCACATGGGGGTCATCTGCCATCTGGGTAAGTGCTTCCCCTGTGCATCTTCTATGCTGTCATCACAGTGGCTTTCTGCAGCCTTTAATGAGGACACACTGTATCGCTGGTTTCAGTCACCCTGGTCTGTGCTCCTTCCTGCGATAGAGGCCTCAAACCTTCACGCTTATGTCCCCAGCCACCTGACTATAGAAGGGCTGGGTGGCTACCTATCAGCAGGGAGTCATGCTGATGTAGGATAAGATTGGCAGACTTCAGTTTGTGGTCAGCAATTGGCATCTCCCTGGGGCCTGAGCAAGGGCCTCCACAGTTCCTGCTTCTTTTACCTGCAGCACCGCAATGGCTGCCTGGGCTCTCCAGCCAACTCCACGTGCCCAAGGCAGGCATGCGCTGGTCTTCGGTGGCCCCTTAAACAGAGAAAGTGGTCAGGGAATGGATGTCTCTACACCTGGCTGATAGTCGTTGCCGTGCCAACTGGAGCGTGTGGGGAGAGAACCCGACTGCTTTAGAAAAATTTTAAGTTATATTTTTGTGTACATACACATACGCCTACTCACATGTACCATGGAGGCCAGAAGGCAACCTGTGGGAGTTGGTTCTTTCCACCATGTAGGTCCTGGCGAGGTCTTCAGGCTTGGCAGCAGGTGCCTTCACCTGATGAGCCACCTTGCTGGTCCTCTATTCAGTATCATCCCTGTAAGACTGCTGAACAAATGTCCTGACATCACAAGCATTCATCCTTAAGGGCAGAAGACAATTTGTAGGGTAACTGCTCAGAAGCAGTGTGGCCTCAGTCTTTTTATTATTATTATTATTTTATTTATTTATTTAAATTTCTTTTTGGTTTTTCGAGACAGGGTTTCTCTGTGGCTTTGGAGGCTGTCCTGGAACTCCCTTGGTAGTCCAGGCTGGTCTCGAACTCACAGAGATCCGCCTGCCTCTGCCTCCCGAGTGCTGGGATTAAAGGCGTGCACCACCAACGCCCAGCATGGCCTCAGTCTTACTCCCGTGACAGCTCTGCCCATTGTAACGTGGTGCCCCTCAGTAGGGCCTGAGTCCTCCACTAGCCCCTAACCCTCTCGTCCACCCTTGAGTTTGAGCCTCTCACTTCCATCCCAGAACAAATAGACAACACAGAGAAAATGCCATTTCCTAAGACCACCAGTTGGGGGCAAGCCTCGGGACCCATGAAGCCCAAAGCCCCCAAGGATCGGAAATGTAGACAGCACAGGTCACAGCTTTTCTACACCTTGCAACTGGGACTGTCACTAGGAAGTCAAACTGGGTTAGGGAGCTGGGAGGTCTACTGGCTTTCTTAGTCTTCTCTCATTTCTCAAAAGCACACATGGTGACGTTGGGCTCTGCCCACACAGTAGGGGAACACACCTGTCATGCCAGCCCAGGCCTGTGCCTCTAAGCTCCCCAAAGAGAAAACACCAGGTGAGAAGGAGGCATATTTTATTGCAGTATAAAAGGGCAGGGAGGATAGAAGCTCTCCAGAGACAAAAACCATAAGTGTGTGTCCCACCCCTGGCAGTGGCTGGACCCAACATGGACAGTCAGGCTCAGTAGTAGGTGACCCACACGCCCAGAGATGGGCAGGAAGAACCATGTCCAGTTATGCTAAGAGTGTCACTGTTTACCTTCAAAAGTACAACAGCCACCACAGTGCTCCACCCTCCTGAGCAGCAGATCACCCTAGAAGCAGCTCTCACCCACTCTAACCAGACGCACTTATTGATGGACTGGACCCCAGCAGTTACAGAAACAATGGCTACTGACTTCAAATTCCAGCATTTTACATTTTCTTTCTGCAGGTTAAAACACACACACACACACACACACACACACACACACACACACACACACACACACACACACACACACACACACACATTCTCTCTCTGTCTCTCTGTCAACATTTTGACTCTAGGCCTAGGCAAGAGGCAGCCTGACTTCCACATGAAGTTCTCCCCAGAGCCATTTTAGCGGCCTTGGCATTTCCATTGTCCCCTCTGCCTGGACTCTGCCAGGGAACCTCACAACACCAGAGGCCCCTGACCACCTCAAGAGGACAGTGGAACTCAGTGAGATGCCAGCATGCAGAGCAGAGACCATGGGACTAACAGTCCAGCTTCCCAGAAGGGAAACGTCAAGGGCAGGCAAGGCTGGGAAGTTTGCTGGTGAAGGCTCTGGTGGAGGATGCCTAGGCATAAGGCTGGGTTGGCAAATGTTTTTCCCTGGCTGTTCTGGGGCCTGTGGTACAGCACAGGGTGCTGATACCCTGCTTACATCAGTCAAGGGAAAGGAGGACAGAGACTCTGGGAGAGAACTCCCTGGTCCTGCTGGATATAGGGTTCCCAAACACTTCCCTGGGGAACCCCGTTTCTGTGGAACACCTCTTCCTCTGTACAAACTCTCTGGATGCCAGGAGTAAAAGCCCTTGGCTGCGCTGGAGACTCATCATAGGACAGAGGGTGTTAGGAGGTGTGCAGAGCATCTGGGGCAGTATCCAGCCCCGGGGATACCACTTACTCTCCAGCTCTGCCACATGGTGCGGACCTGATGCCCTACATATGAAGCAGGAACATGGCTCAGGAGGGCAGAGCCTAACTTAGGCCCAGGCTCTGACTGGGGAGGGAGGAGGGAGGAAGAGGGAGGAGGGAGAAGGCTGGGGCTTTGGAAGCAGCTCCACGAGCAGGGGCTGGAACCAGCTATGAGCACAGGCAGGAGGGCTTTGTGCACCTAGATGATTCGGGTGACGTGACAGTCATTGGTCTCATCCAAAAACAGGGTGCTGAAGACATCATTGAAGAATGTGGGGTGGTATCTGCAGGCTCGCTCACAGTCAGGGTTAAAGTTCACCTCCAGGATCTGGGGCTGCATCACCCGCGTTCCTGGTAGCAAAACCGAGAGGTAGGAAGACTGTGATGGCAGCAAGGTTGGGGTACACATCTGTCGTGGGAAAACTGTGGGACAGGGACTGTGACGTAGGACACAGACTTAGGCTCCAATTCTCAGTGTGTGGGTACAGGGTGTGATTTACATTATGGATTTCCTGGCTTGACACCTGTTCCCCAAAGAAAGATGTGAGCTGCCCCAAACCTCATTACTCTTAGGGCAGTGAGGGCACATCGCTTCAAGCTTCCAAGACCAGTTTTGTTAGAGGGAGCAGCATATAGGGCTGGGAAGGTGGCTCCAACTCTCCTGTCCTGAGTTGGACAGGGCCCCCAGCCTGTCACCTTCCCCCTGCACTCTGAAGCAGGTGTTCCCTTTCTCAGTGGACCAGGCCAGGATACCCAAGCTGGACCACCTGAGAAATTGTTCTGTGAAAAGACAGCCATGGGGTTGGAAAGATGGCTCAGCAGTTAAGAGCATGTGATGTTTTTACAGAAGACTTAGATTCAGTTTCTAGAATCCAACAATGGTGGCTCACAATCATTCTTAACTCAAGCTCCAGGGGTCCTACGTCCTCTGACCCTAGGGATACCAGACATGCACAGAGTGCACACATGCATGCATGCACGCAAAATTCTCAAACACATTAAAACCAAAACCCCAGTCAGGGCTGTCCTGGATGCTGCTGGCAGGGCTGGGCAGAGGTGGAGAGGGTGGAGGGTTATGGTGTGGAGAGCCCCTTACCATCTGGACGGCTCTCCCACTTGAGCATGAGGTCAACAGCATATACAGCCCGAGATGAGGGGTAGTCGCAGAGGCCCATGGGCGGTGGCTTGGCACATGCCACTTGGAACAGCTCTGTGAAGGCCTTGAATATCTCAGCCTGGGGACACAGAATGCTGTATCACACAGTGTACTCAACGCTGACTTTGGGACTAACAAAGCCCACTGTCCTTGCCTGATCCCTGTCATCCAGGTCATCCTGCCTGTCCCCACACTCCTGCTGCTTCATGCATTCTAGACAAGCACGTATCACCAGGCCATGCCCAGCACAGGACTCTATCTATCTTCAGCACATTTGCTGATTTCCTATTCTAGCCCCCCCCCCCAGGTCCCAAGGGCTTGGATTTCCGGAGCTGGTGGAGACTATTGCTCTTGGGCTACCTCAGGATGCCCCAAATTCCCTCCCTCCTGTGGAGGAACATTCTGAAGGGCCTCCAGAAGCACTGTACACAGATAGGCCCAGAGTACACAGGCCCGGGCGGTCTTAGTCCAGCCATCTCTACATGCCTCAGTGAGAAGATGACTCCTCTACCTGTAAGGGAAGGGGGTGGCTTCCACAGCCCCAGCCTGGCAGAGCCCAAGACTCACCTGGACACCACTCCAAGGAAACTCTGGGTACTGCTTCTCGAATTGGGGGATGAACTCATCATAGTGCACCTGCAACAGATGAGAGCCAGTTGTGGAGGCTGCGGCTGTCTCTAGGCTGAAACAGGATATTAGTTTCATAGGACAGGGTTCAGTTCAGCTCTGTCCCGCTGGATCCACACAAGGACAGGAGACCAAGGTTAGGCTCCAGGCAGGCAAAATAATAACTCTGAGCCTCAATTTCTTCTTCTATGAAAAGAAGACACTCCCTGCTCAGGCCACTGACTTTTCAGGGCTGCTGCAAGGCTCAGCGGAGAACAGAGGGTCAAGGGCTCAGGAGGCTGTCAGGCATGGCTGTCACAGCCAGCTCAATTCAGCTCAGCCCACTGGCAGCAGAGACCAACGCCTCTCTGCAGGGCCCCCTTCTGAAGCACCCTACGACAAGATCTCTAGACCAAGTTTTCACCCCAAACATCTGAATGCAGCAGCTCAGATTCCTCCCAGAGGATAAGGCAGCGTATCCCTGCACAAAGGGCTTCTCAGGTAACACAATCATGAGCCTAGCGTCCTCAGGGCTGGCTTCCAACAGTGCCTTGATGGGCAATCTGGGTCCTGGCTTTCAACTCAATCAGAGGTAAAAGGGCCACTTAGGCTCTGAGTCAGCACAGGCATTCTGCAGAGGAAGCTCCTTTTTCACAAACCCACTCAGAAGATGCTTGGGCAGGGCACAGAGACACCTCTGAGGGCCGTTTGCACTGAGAACCAGGTCACTATGAAGTCCACCAATCTTTGCACCCAGGACTCACATGTGAAGCTGAGGCAGGGAAACAGAGTTCAAGGCCAGCCCAGGACACATCAGGCCATGTCTCAAAAACACCAAAAAAGAAATAGAAAAGAACCAAGGTGTGCCCGCAAAAGAAAATCACACACCCGGGAAGGGAGAGTGAGGTACAGTACAGGGTTTCCTGGTCTCCTGTCGGACAGGGTCAGGGGTTGAGCTTACACTCCTTAGCCAGTCACCAGGTCAGAGAGGACCCAGATGTAACAAATCTAGCAGTCTATCCCTCCTTTCCTCCCCATACCCAGAGTTAGGATCCGGTACCAACACCCTCCTGCCGCAGGTACATTCCTGACCAATTCTGCCTGCCTCAATGCCTTTGCCCTGGCATGCAGATGGCACTGTCACCTCATTGTGCCCACGGAGACCTCACTCCACAGACTAGTCTTAGGGGCAGGAAACCCTGCTCCTCCAATTTTTACACTGGGTGCTCATTTTCTTGGGGGGGTTTCGAGACAGAGTTTCTCTGTGGCTTTGGAGGCTGTCCTGGAAACTAGACCAGGCTGCTCTCGAAGTCACAAGAGATCCGCCTGCCTCTGCCTCCGAGTGCTGGGATTAAAGGCGTGCGCCACCACTACCGGCATACTGAGTGCTCTTTAGCACTGTGGGAAAGACTTCCTGAGAGGACACAGGACCTGACCATGATAGCTAGAACCTAGACTTGGGCCCCACCAGGGCCTACCTGCTTCAGCACCACATCCGGGTCATAGTTCATGACGGTGAAATGCTTCTTGTAGTCGTCCAGGTCATTGAGTTCGAAGGGCCTGTGAAACAAGTGGGCAGACAAGCTCCCTGGAGAGCAGTCACACACGGCTGGCTGGGGCTGGGGTACACTGCTCCCTTGTCTGTGGGCTGGGACAGCCCCTCAGGTCAAGTTGGAGAGTCAAGACCAGGAGTGTGCTGTGGAGATTCTCTGTAAGCCACACACATCATCACGACTCCGGGTTAATGTCCAGCTCACCGGAGTGTCACATTCATTATAGCAATGAAGTCCCTGAGCACTTGGGAAGCTGCGGGCTACGTGATGTGGCGGATGGAGTCCAGCACAAGCTTTCAGGTGCACAGTGAAGGAGGGGCTTCCCTGTCTAGCCCCTTCCCCACCCTGTGCCCAGCACCTTGGCCCCGGCCTGTCACTCTTACCTATTGGAGAAGCGTAGCCAGAACACATCATACACGAACAAGCTCAGTGGCTTCACCGAGCGCAGCAGCACAACATAGCGGATGTCAAACTTGACGTTCCCCACATCTTCTCGAAGGAACAGGACGGGACTTTCAATGTACTTGGACACAACCTGGAGGACAGATGTGGACTTGCCAGTAGCCCTCACCTCACCTGGGCAGGACAGAGCAGCTGGGTGCTCCTCCACCCTGAGCTCCATGACAGGGCAGTCTCCTTCACCTGTATCCACAGGAGTCTGCACGCAACATCCTCATGGCCAGCCACGGCTGTCCTCTACTTCTGCATTTTCAAACTCTAGCTAAGGCACAGCAAGTTCTTTATGTTCATCCCTGTTATATACTTTAAAACGATTCATTTATTTTTATGTGCAACTGTGTTGGTTTGCATACATGTATGTGTACCACACACGCAGGCAGCATCCAGAGGCCAGAGGGGTGTTAGATGAACTGGAGTTACAGACAGCTGGGAGCCACTGTGTGAGTTCTGGGGACAGAACCTGGGTCTTCTGCCAGAGTAGCAGGTGTTCTTAACCACTGCTCCATCTCTCTAATCCCTATCCTTGCTATTTAAAGAAAAAAAAAGTCCCATCAAGTTTCAGCATTTGCATGTGTGTCTGCTAGAGCCCAACCTTGGCTACCATTCCTCAGGTGTTATCCATACTGAGATCTCTTTTGTCTTTCTTTTTTTTTTTTTTTTTGGTTTTACAAGACAGGGTTTCTCTGTATTGTTTTGGAGGCTGTCGGTCCAGCCCGGCCTCGAACTCACAGAGATCCGCCTGCCTCTGCCTCCCGAGTGCTGGGATTAAAGGCGTGCACCACCACCGCCCGGCTCTTTTGTCTTTCTTAAAGACAGGGTTTTTCACTGGTGTGACAAGCAGGCTGGACTGACTATGCTTGGCTCTTTCCAGACTCCCCACCAATGGATTGTAGGGACTGATCTCTGGTTCTCATGTTTGCAAAGCAAGCACTTTCTTTACCCACATCTTCTTAGCCTTAGTGTCCAGGTTTTATTTTTTATTTTATTTATTTTGGTCTTTCCAGGCAGGGTTTCTCTGTATTGTTTTGGAGGCTTTCCTGGAACTTGCTTTGTAGACCAGGATGGCCTCGAACTTACAGAGATCCGCCTGCCTCTGCCTCCCGAGTGCTGGGATTAAAGGCATGCGCCACCAACGCCCGGCAGTGTCCAGGTTTTAAAAGGAGGAATTCTCACCAATAATAATTCCATCCACTCCCACCTACTGCCTCAAGTCCCTACAATGACAAAGTTGCCACCACCATAGCCATGGCCCAGGAAAACCCTGTATCTGAGGGACCTGTCCCACACAGCCACTGGATGGCCCAGCCATCCCTACAGGATCACTACTAGACACGAGTTCCATGAGTGATCAGCTACCTTGGTGTGCTCTGATCCACTCAAGCTGAGTGACCCTGAGTCACAGCTGACCCTCCCAATCTTGGACCTAGCCAGAGGTCCTGAGGCCTGCTCTCCTTGGTGTCTCTGCCTGTGCTTGGAGCACCTGGGCAGGGGGAGCTGTAAGCCCACCTTGGGGGTGCTCTCTCGGTGCCGAATGATGCTGTTCAAGTTGTTGGTGACGTGAGTGTCCAGGCTGCGGGCCAGGTTCCAGGGCTTGCAGATCCAGTGGTTGTCCTCACCCCTGGGGGAAGACATTAGTTGAGTCATATGCACCTTTTAGACAATGTGTCCCACGGATCTAGGGGAAGACTGGCTAGTTAATGTCTTTTAGGAAACCCAGTGTCTCAGAGCACTGGAGGAATCAGGAGTTTGTTGGACGCTCCACTCCCCACCCCCACCCCCACAGAAGCGACAAGAGAGCTAGCAGGTTAAGGGTGGAGCAGAGCTGCCGCATTACAACGGAAGTGCCGAGGATGCCCACCCTGCCCTAGGGGACTTACCGTCTCTCCCGTTGTTGAAAATAGCTGACAAACTGGGGCAGCTCAGTGCGCAGGTTGAAGGTCCGGGGCAGCCAGGGGGGACCCTCAGGACCCCCAGCCCGGCGAGCGATGGAGGCCAGGCAGTCCTTTACCGTCAGCAGGTTCTCACAGGGGAACTGGTTGAGTAGCACCTGTGGCCTCTCCTGGCTGAGCGCCCTGTGGGTGGAGGCGGGCACGGCCAGCTCAGAGGTGAGTTTAGTGTCCCCGAGAGGGGTGTGGGGTCTTGGGGAGGGTGGCGGGCAGTCAGAGACACTGGGAGGAGGCCCTGCGGGCTGCATGACACCCACCTGTAGTCCTTGAAGTGTGAGAAGTGGTAGAGGATGTCAGCGTCAGCCTCGCTTTCGGTGAAGGTGAAACGAGGGTGGGTGAGGTGGCAGAGCACCTGCTGCATGTCCGAGTGGACTCTGTGGAGAGACCCAGTGAGCAGCGGCCCAGCTGCAGGCGGGAGCCCCAGCGCACCCTGGCTCTGTGTCAGCAAGTCCCTTGGAATTCCTGGTGTGGGCTGTCTGGGTCTAGTCCACTTCCTCTGCCCAGATGTAGAGAGACACTTATGCCCCCAGGTTCCCCATAGAAGATAAGACCACAGAGCTTGCCTCACATCTGCCACTAGGACAACAGGTTGGCTTAGGTGTTCTGTAGACACTGGTTTCTTAGGAACATGGGATGAATAAGAGGCAGGCCAGCACAGGAAGAGCTTAGCATCCTGGGACTCGGCTTGGCTTGGGCTACACTCCCCTACTCTGAACAACAACCAATGGAGCAAATTTCTCCTCCCCGTAACGACATCAAACTTGGATAGTTTCTATCCAAAAATACATCCAGGGACGGTCAATCTAGCCTGAATGGGCTTAGTGCACATGGGCAATAAGCCAAAACTGTTCTCAACTTTTAGGGAGACTCTTATATTTACCATTGTATGCCCATGCATAGTTTAGCAACATGTAAATCAAGGCTGGATGCATTATGGGAACGGACATGCACAGTCAGTAAAGAGTAATCTAACCCTCTTAGTCAAAATGCAGAGGCCGGGCAGTGGTGGTCCATGTCTTTAATCCTAGCACTCAGAGGCAGAGGTACGTGGATCTCTAAACTGAAGGCCAGTTTGGTCTACAGATCAAGTTCTAGGACAACCAGGGTTAGACAGAGAAACCCTGTCTCATCGCCCCCTCCCCTCCAAAAAAACCCCAAACAAAACAAAGGGAGAACCACCCAAGGTATACCCCTAGAAACTTCCTTTTGGACTCCAAACAATAACTGGGATCCTTGAGTATCTTTAGTCTGTGGCCTACTCCATCAGTCTTGAGAGTGTTTCTCTCTCTCACTTTGTTTTAAACGTTTCCTTGCTACTCTAGAACCTGTGTGAACTTTCCTTCTTACATTTACTTACTTGTTTGTGCATGTTTGCGCGTGTGTAGAGGTTAGAAGACAACTGTGGTAGGGAGTCCGTTCTCTCCCTCTACCATGTGGGTCCCGGGGATTATTTTAGGTTGACAGACATGGCAGCAGGCGCCTTTACTGGCCAAGCCATCTCACCGACCTCTTTATTTCATTCTTGAATAAGAGGTTAAAAACCTGGAAACACCTCAATTGCTGCCATTAGGCAGACACCATCAATCTCCCAATCCCCCTTGATCTCAGCCTGTAAGGAGAGAGTCAGTGTCCCCGGAGGGCTCTCCTGAATCCGCAGGCCTCCTGTGGGTGTGTTGTTAAGACAAGCGTCCAGGAACAGGTCCTAGGTCATACTTCAAACCCAGCAGAGAGGTGAGGATGCCTATAGGTGACTGTATTTCTGAAGAAACAGAGTGTGAAGGCAGAGGACACAGGGCATGAGGGTGACGCGGGTGGCAGCTGGGGAGGATGCTGCAGAGGGAGGGCTCAAAGTGAGCACCAGACTTCTCGGATGGGGCTGGTACCAGGCAGGTAAGGCAGCCTGCGTCATGAGAGGAGGTAAAAGATGGCTGCAAGCACGACCCTGACTAGGTCCCCATCTAGGTCATTCCAGAGGGGATAGAGGTGTGGTAGGAGTGGGGTGCACAGCCAGATCTGTGTCTCAGGATACCACCTTTGCTCGGGCTAGGGCTCTGGCTTCAGGAAAGGGGAGGGGAGGACCCAGTAGAGAGAGGCATGGCAGAACTGGACAGAATGGAGCCCACGAGCTGAACCAACTTGAAGCCGCCATGGTTATGGCATTGGGGGCCTGGAGAGAGGGCTCCTAAGGAAGGCAGAGGCCCTATTCAGTCAGTACTAGGTGGGCTTGGCTCTGTACTCAGGCCCTGTGGTATGAAGTACAGCTGGGTAGCTGTGTCTTCTCCCTGTCACTGCTCATTCCCTCAGACTCTTTGGACAGGATTTCCTGAAAGTATGGGTGCCTTTCCCCCCTTTGACACAGGGTTTCTCTTTGTAACAACCCTAGCTGCCCTGGAACTTGCTCTGTAGACCAGGCTGACCTTGAACTCACCAATATCTGCCTGCCTCTGCCTGCATGTGCCACCGCTGTCTGGCAGCCTTTTTCTTTTCTTGAGATAGGGTTTCACTCTGTAGCCCAGGAAGCCCAAGAACTTGTGGTAATCCTCCTGCTTCCATCTCTCATGCTGAGATTACAGGAATGTGCCACTGTGCCTGGCTTTTCCCACTTTCTCAAGGCAAGTTCAACAGCTGCCTCTCTAGGCAGCCCCACCTATCCTCTCAGTGGTTCTCAGAACACCAACATGCCTGGATCCCAAGGCCTGCCTGGACCACTGACTTCCCTGCCACCTGGGAATGGCAGTGATTGAAGGTAAGGCTCAGTGAGAGCAGAAAGCAAGGGCTATGTACCTGAAGATGTGGCCCTGGGGACGTGCCACTGGGCTAATAGCGAGCGGCAGTTTCTCCTTGTTTTCCTCCAAAATGGCCTAGAATCAGAGGCAGAAACAGATCTCAATGAAGGCAGATGACAGGCTTCCCCAGCCCTACAGGTCAGGCCACACCCTTCACATACTGAGCGGCACTCCAGCATTACCTGACCTGAGGCCCTAGACTCAGGCCTCCCAGATTCCCAAGAGTCTAGGCTGGGCAAAAAAACAACACACACATTGTTCTCGTTCTCCATGCTTGTTCCAGACTCAGGTGGTGAGAGGTGCCAACTCTGTGCTGGGAGGGGCTGCTTGGTCTGAGAGGAGCCCCCAGGACCGTTCCTGGACTTGGCTAACTGTTTAAAACATGTCCATAGACTCTGACACTCGCTTGAAAGGCCGAACCCACCTATCCTAGGACCCAAGGAGTTACTTGTAATGAGCAGCAGAGATGAGGTGACAATACTGCTTCTGAGCCCAGATCGCAGGCCCCTCAACTCCCTCCCTGCTCCCGGATCACCGGCTTGAAGAGAAGCTAGTTCCATGCCTTTGGAACACTCAGGAGCACACAGAGAGACACCTCTGTGGGGAGACTGACACCTTCGACAGACAGCTTGACTCCCCAAGCCAGAGTGCCGTGTAGGAATGTCTCAGCTTCAGGAAGGCTCACTTTTCAGCTTTGGGGGACAGTCGTCTGTGTACCCAGGAAACCCTGAACCAAAAGCACTGTCTCCAGTTCTGTTCCCCACAAACTGTAGGAGGCAATATGCATTTGCTGTCCTAAACTGTTGAGGTCACTTGTCACCTGCACAGGCCACCCCCGGGCCAGATCAAAGCCTGAGAGCATGGTCCTATGCAAACAAGCTTTCAGGTGAGGGGTGTCTGGCCTCCTGGCCCCCCTTTTCCTGCCTGCAGCAGCTTCCCAAAGACCACGCCAATTCTTCATGGTCCACTGTCAGATGGCCTGAGGCCAGCGGGTCCTTCCCTAGCCACCCTCAAAGCTCACACACAGCACCCAATACCATGTTCACCAAACCCTGACTGGATACAAGCATTTAGGAGGCTGTGAACCCGACTCTGAACTCCCAACAGAGGACGGCATCTCCTCCTCTGTCATGCTGGGCTCAGCAAGGTGCCATGAGACCCTGACTGTGGTCTGCCCCTGCCAATCAGCAACTCAAAGAACTTCCATTACATGTGCTTAATCCTTCTACAATCCTCAGAGGCACTCAGTGGTATCAGATGTCTGCACGCCAGAGTAGACTCAGGTACAGCAGGGCAAGGTTTTTGGCCTCTGCTGAGTCCCTGTGGTTCCCCGGCTTTGGACTCCACTTTCCACACCCCACTGTGTTTACCATCAGCAGAACCATGGACAGACACTAGGCACAGGTTCCTGTGTGTACAGATTGGCGGACAAGGGAGGAGGTTCTTGCAGGGGTGGAGTTTTAGCTTCATCCCCCGCCTTAAAGATTTCTTAATTTTATGTGTATGGAGTGTTTATATGCAAGTGCGTTTGTACATCACACATGTGCAGCGCCCACAGAGGCCAGAGGAGGGTGTTGGACTCCGTGGAACTTGAATTATGGATGTTTGTGAAACTGCTGGGCACCAAATACAGGGCCTCTGTAGTAGCGGCCAGTGCTTTTTACCACTTAAGCTATCTCTCTAGCTTCTAGGGGCCATGCTCCTGAATGGTATGAGGCCTTTGCATGGACTCATCATAGCCAGGCATTTCAGAGTGCACCCACAGGACCCTAACTTATAGGGTATTTAGTGACAGCAAAGGTTCCTTGAGAGCCTGCCGTGTTGTGAAATGTGCTGTATAGTCGGCCCTCAGAGCCTATGGGCTCCACTACTTCAGATTCAACTAACAGTAGGTCAAAAGTGTTTTCTGGGGGAAAATGTCCTCTGGTCAATGTGTGCAGACGTCTGTGTCATCATTCCCAAACCACATGACTATCTACAGAGCACTGCTATTGTGCTGAGAATCACAAACAATGCAGAGGTGATAAGGGACTCTGGGGGTAGTGCTGGCAGTTCTGTGACACTCCTGAGAACCCACAGACTTTAGTATCCATGTGGTCCTGTGAACCATCCCCATGGACACAAAGGAACAACTAGTGTCTTTCTGTATCCTGTGAGGGAGCATCATGAGGAGGGACAGATCTAGCTGCACAGGCTATCCCTTCCCAAATCCTGGCTACCTGGGATCTAGACCAGGTCATATGACAAACTGTGTGGTTCTGGAAGGTGTAATTAAGTCCCTTATCTCTCAGGTGTTTCCCAAATGGTTCCCCCATCCCAGTTGCTAGTTTGGAGCCTGGAATCCAGCCAACATTAACATTTGGTGAATGGATAGAGAACAGTCCACCAGTTTGGTGGTCCAGAAACCACCAAACACTAGGCCCAGGGTTGTAGGCCCAGGGTTACAGGCGCAGGGCCACACCTGATAGTACTTGGCAGGAGGCTCAGGCGTAGAGGAGCTGAGGTCCAGCATGTCGGCAGGGGCCCAGGGCAGCAGCATGCATTTCCGGATCAGAGGGTCTGCCTCTCCGTAGGCAAAGTCCCGGGTCACCTCCTCTGCGCCAAGACACGCATGGCCATCAGTGGGGGTGGCAGGAGGCCCGCCCAAGGCCCATCCTTTGGGGTATGTGGGCACCTGACTTACCGCCTGTGTCCAGGTCCCTTAGGGGCCACAGCAGGGTGTAGGCCACCTGCTGGGGCATGTAGAAGAAGGGAGCGGTGGCAAAGCTCGGCATGTCTGCATGCTGGATCCTCGAGCCAAACTCATCCATGACGTACCACACTGGTACCTTTTCTTCGGCTGTCTGTGGGCAGGATACAACAGTCCTCGGCCACATGTCCACCCACCTGCTGTCTCCCCGACCTGTACGCCCAACATCAACCACCGTTCACTTCTGCCTACTCCTGAGCTTGGAGCTTTCCCCAACCCCATTAACCAGCCCAGGCCTGTGGAAACAAGGCACTAGATCCAGTAACGGCAGGAGCAAGTCCCATGTGCCACGCTGGGGTGGGGAGGCTAGACTGTAAGAAACAAACATGGCTTTCCCCAAGGTGAGATTGAGAGGGGCTTGAGCCAGGAGGATGAGCCTGGAAGGGTGACAGAGTGGCGGATGAAGGCCCGAAAGTGTGTCAAAGGGTTCTGCTCTCCTATCAAGGGTGGTGAGAGCCATGGAGGGCAACATGTTTGGAAGTGGCAGCTGAGTCGCCAGAGCTCAGTCTTAAGAGGTCTGAGGGAGGCCTGTGTCCTTTAAGTGCAAAGACAGGATAGGTACCTCAGTCCTCAGCCTTGGTTGGTCCCAAGTACCAAGATAAAGTCTTGCATGTAGCCCTGGCTGGCCTACAATTCGCTAGACCAGGCTGGCCTTGAACTCACAGAGATCCACCTGCCTCTTCCTCCCAAGTACTGGGAGTAAAGGGGTGTACCTCCATGCCTGGCTGTAACTTGATTGCTTTGCTTTATTATGGGCAACAGACTTCCGGGAAAGGCACAGGGACGAAGCAGGGCTTCTTCTACCGCTTCTACTGGGAGAAAGCGAGTTTACTTACCCCGTGGGCCAGCTGATAGGTCTGGTTGAACTTCCACATCTCCTCCAGCACCAGGGCCACAGCTTCTGGGCTGGGCACCTCACCATGGAACTCGATGCCCATCAGGTTAGCCATACGGTGCAAGAGTCCGGGTACCTGCTGCAGCTGTTTACGTGCATGCTCCACACGGCATGTCCAGGCATGGTCGATAAGGAAGATGCTGCAGGTACAAGCCACACACCAGACACTAAGCCACGGCTCTCAACCTTCTTAATACAGAGACACTTTAATACAGTTCCTCATGTTGTGGTGACCCCAACCATAAAATTATTTTCATTGCAATGTCATAACTGTAATTTTGTTACAGTTACCAATTGTAATGCAAGTTTCTGTGTTTTCCAATGGCCTTAGATGATCCCTGTGAAAGGGCCATCACCCCCACCCCCACCCCCGGCAACCCAAAGGTGTCATGGTCTATAGGCTATAAAATGAAAGGAACGTTCTGGGTAGCATTCAAGACCAAGTTCAGGGATATTTTACTAGGCCCTTAGCCACCCGATCTGTTTGCATATCCTCCAACAAAGGCTGGTTTATTCCCAAACAATGCAGTGTGGAGTACAGAGCCATGCACTTGGGGTGACCGTGAAGTGTGACAATAGTCATACCCAGGTAGGTATGGGGTACAGAGGACAGAGAACTAGGGCCTGGCAAATGTGGACTACTCAAAGGCACAAAGTCCTTAAAGCACAGGGGACTGAAATGGACACTTGTGCTCTGCGAAGGCTGGCCAGAGCCGTCAACTTGACAGAATCTAGTCCCTGGATAGTCCATGAGAAGCTGTCTTGATTCTGTCAATCGATGTGGGAAGACAAATCTTAATTGTGGGAGGGGCTATCCCCTGGGCAGGGGATCTTGGACTTCATAAAATGCAGAAGGCCAGCCGAGTACCAACAATTCATTCATCGTTGTTTCCAGATTGCAGGTATAAAATGAAAGACCACTCCAAGCTCTTGCTACTGGGACCCCGCCCCCCATGGTGGACTGTATCACTGTGAGTCAGCATAGACCCTTCTCCCTCGGCTGACCTGGTGGGTGTATTTTATCACAGCACAGGTTCCAAACAGTTTGCGGGGGTGGTGGTCCATTCCCCAGCTACTTCCCAGGTGCTGAGGTGTAGGACAGCATTGGGCTAAGTGAGGCTTCAGCTCCTGGGGTAGTGCTGGCCCTAAGCTACTTGCAGGTAGATCTGAGTGCAGGTGTGGGGGGGTGCTACTCTGCCATCAGTGGAGTGGCCCCTAAAGCTCACTTGGGGGCTAGTGAGGGAGAAGACTAAATCTTGGTACACGACACCAGGTGCCAAGGAAACTCATGAAGTTCCTTAAGGTTCTGACAAAGCTTCTGGTAGAGGGGTCCACAGGCCTACCTGGGGTTCCCTGGGAGATGGGAAGTCCTGAGTCTAGATTTGGCTCTGGGCAACACCGCACTTGGTTTGAGAACCTTTCCAGGATTGAGTCAGTAGGCTTTGGGGAGAGAGCACAAGGGCTCTCAGCAAAGGCAGGCTCAGTTAGGTTTAGCTGGGTTCAGCAGCCACATCCTTAACTAACTGGATAACCTCATGCAAGGCCTTCCCCTGAGTCTGCTTGCCCTCGGCAGAACCAGGAGCTCAAGTACCCTGTGGTGAGGTTACCAGGATGTTCTTTTTAGGGGCATCAAGTATGATCCCTGGCACTGTCAACAGGTTCACACACTATCCCCAAAGCCTGTGGGAACACCACTGGCCACACATGTCACAGGGAAAAAGAGTCTGCGTGAAATCTCTCAAAATGAAGTCAGAAACTTAAAAAAAAAAAAAAAATTTCCAGACCGGGGTCCTACCTGTTGGGGTCATCAGCCCGGACGCCATTCTCACTGGTCACAATGACCTTGTAGCACAGCTCACTCCCAGGGTTGGGCTGCTTCCTCTGAGCCTCTCTGGAAGCCTCGTCCTCAGCCTCCTCCACCTCCTCCACCTGCATTATCCCAAACATGTCCCCGGCATCGAAAACCTAGGGCCAGAGCACACAATGTATCAGGGGTGTGGATAAGAGACCTCACCCCGACACTGTCACCTCTGAGGAGCGAGCCCTATTTACTATACAGCCTCTTAGCATATCTAACAGAAGAACTGAGACCTCTCAGGGACTTCACCTATGCCTCCTTCTCCCATGCACAGGACAGCACACTTTGGAAAAGGCATCTGCGGCAGAACTTTCTTAGTCTATACCCCTGGCTTTAAAAGGGAGGCCCCAAAGTAGAGGATGGCTCTGGTGCCTTGGAGGCGGGGGGGGGCCAGGGAGCACCCTGACTTCCTTTTCACCAGAGCTATTCTGATACCGGGACAGTTGAGGCAGCCCACAGGCACCTCCCCAGACTAGGGCAGCAGAAAGCATGGCCTGAGGGTGCTGGGGCAACTTTCAGGGCAGAGTGGGAACTGTAAGATGTGAGCTTGGATTTCCCAGGCCAGGAACAATCCCGAGTCAAGAACAGCTGGAGAAGCAACCAGCTGGCCTCTTCTCGCACGCCCTCTCCCAGTTCCCTCCACGAAGGCACGTCAGGTCTTCCTTCATAAGCCAGAAAGTGTGGAGTCTGAGACTCACTTGTGAGGTCTGAATCTTTGCTTTGCCACATCTTATATATGCAATCCTGGAAAAGACCTCTGTGACTCTGTTTCCCCATCTGTACGGTAGGAAGGTCTGGGTCTGTTGTGATGTTTAAATTACTAACACAAGCAAGGCACAGACCAGGACCTGGGCTATGGCAAAGGCTCCTACAGGCCATGCTCCACTATTACACTTCTTAGAGACTCAGTTTCCCCACCTGTGAAAGGGTTTATCGCCCACTCTATAGAACAGCTGCAAGAATTGATGAAATGGGATTCAACAGGTGAGTTTGTCCCTCACACCTTGACCCCTCTGAGTACCAGCTATTCAGGCACAGACAAACTTTGTGAGCCCAGAAGACAAGGGGCTCTCCTGCTGGGGACATGAGGGCTAGACTCTTTTAAACCCCTCGGGAGCTAGGGAGCTATGGGAGTGAGTACTTGGTCAAAGATTCAGGTCTTCAGTTCTACAGCGTGGAGGGATGTACCCATAGGCTGGGAAGGGAAAGAAAGGCATAGGAGTGGGGGTTAGGAGGACGCCACTGGCGAGATGGCTCACAGGGTAAAGGTGGTTGTGACCAAGCTTGGTGATCTGAGTTTGGTCACAGATTTCCCACGGTGGAACCAACTTCTGAAAATCGTCCTGAGTTCCATATACATGCGTGTGCATGAATGCACACGTACACACAGATCACGTACACACAAAATATATCAATGTATGAAAAAGTGTGTGTGTGTGTGGGGGAAACAGAGTGGAGACTTGCAGGGCAATCAAAAGATAAGGGGAGCTCTAGGCGGAGAACAAGCATAGATTCTCAACTTCTCAACCAAGTCCTCTGAAGCAACCCTGGGTTGGGGGAAGCTTGCCCTCATTTAAGACTGGGGGGGCTGGAACCCACAACTCAGGTATGTAGCCCCAGACCTTCCCCTGCAGGAAGGCAGACCTTCCCTGCCCTGTTTAGCTGTACCTCTAGGGAGGCATCAGCAGGGGATGTTCCTCCAAGTGGGAGGGAGAGTGTTTTTAAAAACAGCTCCAGTCTTTTCTCTGGAACTGATCAAGGAGCCAGGGCTGACTGCCTGGTGGGGGAGGGTGGCTCTCCACAGGCAGGTGGCTCCCTCTGGGCCTGGTGGCACTGTGGTGACTCAGCTTTGTCTGGAATGGCTCAGAAGGGCCTGGGGGGAAAACGGATGGCTAGGCCACAGCAGCCTAAGTGAGAAGGGACAGGGCGCATGCTGGAGTTCATTTCTCCTGCCATCATCTCCCTCTAGGGAGCCAGGTGCATGTGTTTCTCTCCGCACTTTCCAAATGAGACATGACTTAGGTGGGGAGTCACCTGCCCAAGTCAGAATGCACTCAGAGGCTGGCTGAGTTGGACCCCAGTGTATTCCAAAAGCAGTCCTTTCACTAACAGATGGGGTTGGGATTCTACTTCGGCATTGGCCTGGGATTAAAGCAAGTCTGCAGACAGTGGCGGGTCCACCACATGAGCAGAGGGAACCTAGTTATATGAAGTACCATTCTGTAAGAAGCCTGGATCTACGATGTGGTAATGCCTGGAAACCACACTGAAAGTGGAAAAAAAAAAAACCCAACCCACCACATAGGTCATTGCACTCATTTTGCCCTGCTGTCTGGGCTGACTGGGAATTACAGCCTCAGGACACCTCCCAGGACCAGCGGCTACATTGTATCGCTAGTCCATTGAACACTCCTCCGCACCCTTCTTCCTTCCTAAGCCATAGGGCTAGGGATGGAGCGTGTCCGTCCCCGTCCCTCCCCCAAGCTACGTGAGCAGTCTACACAGAGAGCTGCACCACAGTCCTATGCACAGGTTTTAAGCAGGAAATATATAGTGTGCAACTGTATCAAAGAGGGCGAGTTGGTCCTACAGCAAGGCTCAGGGGACTCCTATTTCTTGGCCTCTCCTGGCCACCTGAAGTCTTATTGGGTCTCAGTTGGAAGGCGGTGTCCTGAAGAGAAACCAAGCTTTAGCTTCGGAAAAAAGCCCTCTGCTCAGCCCAGCAGCTGCTCTGTCTTCAACACCCAAAGCCACGGTCCAGTTTTCAGGCAGCAGAAACCGTGCACCCCAGCTCAGGTGAAAGATGAAGCCATTCCCTTAAAGACGGGGAACACCTTTAGCGTCTTCTCCATCTCCCCGGGCCTCCATTCTCCTTAATCTACAAAGGGTGTGACCGGCGACTCAAGTCGCGGAAAGCAACTCCTTACTCACTACACCGCAGCCGAGGTGCTGGGATGCCGAGAGCCAAGTGCATGTCAGTTTGCAGATCCCAGCTCATCCTTGGTAGGGCCCTGTTCCTGCAGGATGATGGCACAGACGCAGCTCTCGGCCGGTCTCCTATGATTCCCACTCCCGAGCTTGTAAGTGGTTCTCCCCTTTGGACCCGTTGAGCTGCGATCCCCACTCGTCCGCATAGCCCGCCCGCAGTCCGCGCCGCCCCGTACCTCGTGCTCCAGTTTGTGCAGGAGGCGGCCCCACAGCTGCTCCGGGACGCCCGAGGCGCGCAGCGCGGGACCGTGCAGTGCCACGAACTCGTCCAGCATCCGCTCACTCAGCCTCTCGGCGCGGCCCGGGCTACCGCGCCGCTCCCCAGGATAGCCCTCCATGGTGCTCGTATGTGCGCGGTGCCGCCCACCGCCGGATTATGCGTACGGTGCGCACGCGCCTGAGTCCCGGGCTAGGAGGTCCCGAGTGTGCGCAGGCGCGCTAGGGGAGTGTCTTCCCATTCATCCCAGGACTGCCGCAGGGGATACTGGGAGTACTGCTTAGAGCGCCCCTCGTGGTCAGAACCGGAAGAGCTCGTCCTCAAGGGGCAGGTGAGGCTGGGATGGGGAGGAGGCCAGACAGTCTTCGCGCTGGTTACAGTTTTGTTTTGCTAGAGTTTGTTTGTCTGTTTTTTAAAAAAATTTATGTGTATGAGTGCTTACTTGCATGCATGTATTTGCACATATCATGGAGGCCAGAACTGGTTCCTCAAAACTGGAATTATACATAGGGTGCTGGGATCTGAACTCAGGTCGTCTGCAAGAGCAGTTAACTACTAAGCCATTTCTCCAGCTTTGTTTTGTTTTGGAGTGTGTGTGTGTGTGTGTGTGTGTGTGTGTGTGTGTGTGTGTGTGTGTGTGTTTGTGTGTAAGAGAGAGAGAGAGCGAGGCAGAGAGATATATAGAGACAGACAGAGACTGAGAGACAGTGCCCTTGTGGAGATCAAAGAACAAAACATTGTGAAGTCTGTTCTCTTTCCGTTTTTATGTGGGTCCCGGGGATCAACCTCAAGTCATCAAGATTGCATGGCAAGCGCCTTTACCACTGAGCCATCTCCCAGGCCTTGTTTACCATCACTGTCATCGTTTATCACAGGGTCTCATGCAGCTCAGACTGACCCACAAACTCACTTTGAAGTGGAGGCTTGCCTTGAACCCTCGATGCTCCTGCCTCCACCTCCCAAGTGTTGGGAGGCACCACCATGTGGGGACCCTAGCCATATCTTCAGGGCTTACAGACCTTTCCAGGGGCAGGGGGACACTTCTCACTCTTTGGAATGCTTCACTGTATTCAAAGGCTGTGATATCTTGGTGTGATAACTGGGTGTGCCATCAAGGAGATATTCCACAAGCACAGAGGTTCCCAAGTGTAATTAAGGGGTCAGTAAGATGCCTCTGAGGGTGAACTCCCTTGTCTGGCTTCTAACTCATAGAGATCTGCCTGCTTCTGCCTCCCAAGTGTTGGGATTGGAGGCACTGGGGAAGTGGAGACAGGAGATCGCTGGGGCTTTCTGGCTTCCAGTCCTGAGAAAGACTCTGCCTCAGTGAGTAAGCAGAGACTAGCTGTTACTCAGTGCCTTCTTCTAGCCTCCCCTACCCATGTGTGCAGACTCATACCCGTGTGCCCCCAACAACCAATCAACTAGTCAGTTCTATTGAAAGAAAAGGTGGCTGACCCCTTGCTGGAGGGGTCAGACTGAGCTCTGGAATGATAGGCTGCATTTGTCCTGTCCTTCCACCCTCGTATAATTTGCTGGATGGAGATGAGATACAAGGTAGCTTAAAATCCTTTCAATGGATGTATTTATTGTGTATGAGTGTTTTGCCTCCTGTATGTATGTATACGCTGTGTTGGCACTTGTGGCGTAATAGGCCCTTGGACCTTAGCACAACTAACACCATGTTAGAGGCAGGCCCTAACACCTGCCCACGTGGGAACAAAGGCCTAATCCACCAAAGACCTGATCCATAGTTTCAGGATCCAGGAAAGTCCCCAAATGTTCTAACTGAGGTGGAGAGATGGCTCAGCGGCTAAGAACACTGGCTGGTCTTCTAGAGGTCCTGAGTTCAATTCCCAGCAACCCCATGATGGCTCAAAACCATCTATAATGAGATCTTGTGTCCTCTTCTGGCCTGCAGGGATACACTCATATAGAACACTGTCTAAAAAAAAAAAAAAAAAAGAAAACCAAATGTCTTAATCTTGATTTCTGGTTTCTGTAATTCTGCTTCTTACTAACTGAAGCATGTTGACTAAGATGCGATTTTTGTGCATAAAAGAGACAAAGGACTGTGAAGATTGGGCCTGCATGATTTGGGCAAGCTCCCCGTGCAGCTGCCAGCCAGGCATACAGACTTTCTATTCAACTTTCAGAGTGTCTGTGTGAATCTGGAGAGAGCGCTCAAAGGTTGAGAACAGTAGATGCTGTTCGAGATGATCCTGGTGCAATTCTCAGCACCCACATGGCAGCTCACGACTGTCTGTAATCCCAGCTCCAGGGGCCCCAACACCCACACGCAGATAGATATACATGCAGGCAAAATACCAATGCACATAAAAAATGATAAAAATGGACCATTAAGCTGGGCGTTGGTGGGGCACGCCTTTAATCCCAGCACTCGGGAGGCTGTGAGTTCAAGGCCAGCCTGGTCTACAGAGCAAGTTCCAGGACAGCCTCCAAAACAATACAGAGAACCCTGTCTCGGAAAAAAAAGGATCATTTAAAAAAGAGTGTCTGTTGTGTTCTCTGGTGGAATTAACAACAGTGGATTCAGAAGAAAGTGTAGGAGTCCTTGGAACTGGAGTTATGGATGTTTATGACCCATGATGTGGGTGCTGGAAACTGAACCCCTGTCCTCTGTGATAGCAACCGGAATCCTTAATCACAGAGCCACATCTCCAGCCCCCAGCCCCATTCGGTCTCATTTAAGGTGTAAATCCATGGTCTTCTCTGATTTCTGACTCTGTGAATAAAGCACAATTTAGAAGATTCCATCCCTGTCCCTGGTGATTGGCTTCTGAGTGGCAGGTACTCCAGTTACATAGCCTAGTGTTGGCTGTCTACATGCCCCCACCAGGGGTAGGGGGAAGTTGGACTGGGAAGCATTAAGACTTGATTCTGACTTAAAGGTTGTTTGGATTTCTCCTCCTCCTCCTCCTCTTCCTCCTCTTCCTCCTCTTCCTCCTCCTCTTCCTGCTCCTGATAGGATCTCACTATATAGTTCTGGCTATCTTGGAACACACTATGTAGACTAGATTAGCACGGAACTCACAGAGATCCACTCACCTCTGTCTAATGAGTGTTGGGATTAAAGTCATGAGCTGCTACAGCTGGACTGTGGTTTCTTTCTCTTTTTTATTTTTATCATCTACCATCTATCTATCTATCATCTATCTTCTATCTATCTATCATCTATCTATCTATCTATCAATCATCTATCTATCTATCCATCTATCTATCATCTATCTATCTATCTATTTTGGTTTTTTGAGACAGGGTTTCTGTGTGTAACAGCCCACACTGTCCTGGAATTCACTTTGTAGAGCAGGCTGGCCTTGAACTTACAGAGACCCACCTGCTATGTCTCCCAAGTGCTGGGATTAAAACAGTGGACCACAGAGCCAGGTAGTGGTGGCTCACACCTTTAGTCCCAGGACAGCCAGAGCTGTTTCACAAAGAAACCCTGTCTTGAATAACAAGCAACAACAAACAAACAAAAAAGAATAGCCAGAGGCATAACTACAGAAGCCAAAAAGCAAGGTTAGTACATTTAGAGATTTTCCCAGAGCTATGGACTTTGATGGGTTAGGTCTTTGCTTTTGTTTTGGCAGTGGTGGTGGTCTACGTGCTGAGGTTTATGGCCTGAATGGTACTTCCATCATGGTATCAGTTGTGCTAAAGTCTGGGGACCTGCTACAAGGCTTGATTGGCCTCTAATTTAAAAGTTACTTTGTTTGGTTCTGTCCTCTCTGATCTCTGACTGAGAGAGGAGGTGCTACAACTTCTGTTCCTGGTAACAGTCCCTTGGGCCATTGTCTGTCAAATCTGTGTAACTGTCCTTGTATCTCTATGAACAAAACAGAGTAGCCCCTTAGCCTTTCCTTCTCTTCAGGGAGGCAATGCCTTTTGTAACTTATACATGATTGCCTCTGTATCCCCTCCCCCTGCTTTCTTGTCCTGTACAAAATGATTTGCTGACCAAGGTCATTGGAAATTCTGTTACTTTGGCCAGTTCTCGATGCTGTGTAACACTGAAACAGCTCAGAAATTTGTGAGACAAAGAGTAGAATGTATGAAACATTTCCCTTTAAAACTCTAAGCAACAGTAAAGTGTGTCTAAGATCTGCCACAGACAGGAAGCTTATTTAGCAATGTGTGGACCTATGATCTTAACTCCTTCTGTTATGAATGTGATTTGCATTCAACTGACTCATAGTCAATTGCTGAGTTTATTATGCTGCTATTATGCATTATTATATATGATATATACAGTATATATAATTTTATCTGTGGTTGGTCAAAATGGAAAGTAAAGGTGAGAACAAAATTAGGACCTGAGTATGTCACATAAAGTCCAAGCAAAACCTCATTTAGTTCGGTTCATAGTTACAATGATTTCAGACCATGGTCTCCTGGCTCTGCTGCTTGGGCCTGTGTTGGGAAGTCTTGTGTGAAGGATGTTGCATAATAGTCATGTGGAATTGAATCATGTTGTTTTAGGCACTAGCCCCTAGTCATAAAGAATTGCTCTAGCCTGATCATTGTACTCCACCTGCAGAAACACTATGCCCAGGTATCAAAAACACCCTACCTTTCTCCCAGTCAAACCACAAAAAGTAGCTTCCTGGTAGTTACACACACACACACACACACACACACACACACACACACACACACAAATACAATTTTTTGTTTTCCCGTTTTTTTGAGACAGGTTTTCTCTGTATAGCTTTGGAGCCTGTCCTGGAACTCGCTTTGTAGATCAGGCTGGCCTTGAACTCATAGAGATCGGCCTGCTTCTGCCTCCTGAGTGCTGGGATTAAAAGTGTGCACCACCACCACCCGGCATAAAATAAAATCTTTACAAAAAATAATTAAGAAATCTTTCCCATCACTAGACCAGATACATATTCTTCTGGAACTTGTTTTTGAAATGGAGTCTGAAGGCAGGAGCTTCAAAAATTCAAGGTCCTTATTGCTTGCTTGCTTTTCTGGGTTCCAGTGTATATATGTATATATATATATGTGTGTGTGTATGTATATATATATGTATGTATGTGTGTATGTATATATATATGTATGTATGTATACATATATATATATATACTCAGTCATAACTGTAAAGATAATGAGAAATGGACAGTGCTTAGGCTCATTTCCTGTTTATTATTAAAGTGATTCCCACAAGTGTTTAATTACATGCATAGGGGGGAACATGGTAGAGAAAAGCTTGGAATATCTGAGGCAGCTGGAAGGCAAATGTGGTTACATGGATACTGGTCAGTGTGTCCTAGGACTGCCACCCAGTGCCTATGTTTGGAGGCCAGGGCAAAGGCTGGGTCATAGAGTGCATTCTCTAGAGCAGTGTGGATGGCTTCTGGGTGCACATGTCTCTGACCTCGGCAAAGCCTGTGGTTTCTGACAGATCTATTTGAGAGCCTGGTTGCTTCCTCGTTTGTGCTGACATGCACCGGGCCTCTTTCGTGTGCAGGCCCAGGGCCTCTGGGTCAATGCAAGCATTGTAGGTGGCAGTGAGAGTTCATGTTTGGATGTCGAGGAGACTGACTGCTACCCAAGAGAAGCCAAGTCCGTCCTTTCTCTGAGTGTGTGTACAGAGGGAAGGGATGTCACCAGAGTCATTAACTCTCCTAGCGCCTCACTCTTCATTTAGGGGACTTTACTTGGTCTCTCTCGGTACAGGGATGGGGGCCCTGGGCAGAGAGGGTCCAGCTGGCTCGAGACTAAAGGGCTGTGAATTTGCCTGGCCTCGGTGGCTTCCTGGTGAGTCACAGGAGTGCAGATTTCAGAGCTTCCATCCAGGACTTTGTGTGGCATGGCTGGGTGCAGGCTAGGGAGACCGCAGCCAGCAAAAGACCCATGTTGGGAGCTGTCTAAACTGGGTGTTGGGGGAGAGCACAGGCTATGCCACATTGCCCAGGCCCCGAAGAGCCCCCCCTCCCCCAAACCCGGTACCTTGACAGAGGTTCTGACAGGTCGAGTAGGGTGAAGCCCACTCAGTGCTGCTGTGCCCTGGAGAGGAGCTATCTGTGATGCTTCTGTGTTTGACAGTCGTTTTCGCTCTCAGTCTGAGTGGCATCAGCTGGGTGCTGCCTGCTTGAGCGGGAGGGTTGAGCTACCACTCTGCATCTTTGGTGAAGCAAAGCTGTACAGCACTTGCCAGGCCAGTCCCACTTTCCAGGCTAGTCCCAGGGCAAGAAGAAAGCACTGGTCCTCCTGGCCTCCAGGCAGTGGAGCAGCTGAGCAGGCATGGGGCAGGGCTGCTGTCCTGATAGGTGCTTGTTTGTGTTCATATTGTTCCCCAGTCAGTCCTTCTAGAAGTCTGGCACACAGTAGGTACCCAGTAAATGTTTGCTGAATGACCCAACTCATTTTAGGTCCTTGCTTTTGTGCTGAGGGGTGGAATGGGGGGTGGCTGTGGAAGACATTCAGCTTCCATATTTAGGGTCCATCCCAAGCCCGACCAGTCAGGGCCTCCTGTTTTAGAAGGCAGAGGTGGGTGAGCAGGCTCCCTAGTAAAGCTCTTGAACCAGGATTTGGGGCTTGTATTTTGGTTCTATGTCATCTGTGTGTCCAAACTAAAAAATGTCAGGAGGGGAAAGGTCTCCATCTTGGGCTGGCCCCTGAGTATCTGTGACCATTCAACCGACCATTCAGGAAGGAGCTAGGAAAGACTGCCCTGAGGGAACCAAAATCTGGGAAAGTAGTCACCACCAGTAGCCAGTGTGATGCCATTGGGGACCACAGGTGCCCCCTGATTGTGCTGCATGAGAGTTAGGGAAGGAGCCAGGGAGAGAAGGGTGTTGTAGCCACAGCCCCGAGGCTCTGTAACCAATACAAATGACTGGGACAACTAAAATGCCTTTTCTGAGTGGGAGAGGACATACCCCACTGTTGTTGCCCACGAGTGGAGGGCTGGGCTGACCAGTGACCCTCAGGGCAGATTGCTTTCCTTCCTTGGGTACTGCCAAGCTAAGTGCTGGGAGGTACCAGGAATATAAGCCAGGAAGGCTTTTGGGTTGTCCTACTGGGGTGCCCTCAATTCCAGGTCTCACATGGTGGCCATCTCCTGGAACCCAGGGACAACTTGGTTTTTCACACACCTCCATAGAGGTCACCAGGTTGCCCCAGCTGTGAAGCTCTACCAGGAGCAAGACCAAGCACAAATGAAGCTGGAGACATACAAGTCCTCTCCGCCTTTGCCAGGTGCCAGGGCTTTGGGGGCCAATTTTTTTTAGGGGAGAATGAGAGCTACAAAAGGGCTTGATCATGAGAATGAGGGACCTGGCCTGCACTGTACGTGTTCCAACTCAGGGGACACTGGACATATGGCCACAGTGGGGGGGGCACTCTGGAGAGAGGAGATATTTGGGTGTATTGATGGACATAGAGGTGGCAACTGCCAAAATTCACTCAAGAGTTATAGGCAGGCCTTAGGAGAACCTGAGAACTCTGTTTTCTGGTTTTTGAGAAGGTTAAAAACTAAACCTGAAGCCCTTAAGTGGTTTGGTTAATTTGATATGTCAACTTAACTGGGCAGGGCTGAGCCCCCAAATGTTTCTTACGGCATGTCAGGGCAATGATGGTGGTACCCTGGAAAAGATTAGTGTATGAATCAGGAGCTTAAGAAAAGCCCCCTCCTCACCTAAGTTGGGGGCATCTTTCAGTGGAGGGAGGGCAAATTTATCGGACAGCCAACCAACACAGTGCTCCTGGCTCAGACACCAGTTCCCGGCATCTCTGGTATGAACACTGCCAGCTGTCCTGCCTCTCCAGTTTGCAGATGACAGCTTGAAGAACTTCTTGGGTGCCATCATTCTCTGAGCTGTTTTCCATAATTCCCTCCTAGTGAGCCTCCATGTGTGTCCTTGTTTGCTTCCTTTTCCTGGAGAGGGTGAGTGTTGCTGGGTTCATTCCGGGGGATGTTGGTCCCTCTGGGGATGACCAGTGACCCAACAGAAAGACAGGAAGCTTCTCCCTGGTACAGCTGGGCTGCAGGGGTTGTGAACTGCAGAAAGGCAGTAGGCCCCAACCCTGACCTACCACCAAGTGCACAAAGTCCGTCCATCTGCCGCTCTCCACAAGAGAGTGATGGCCGCTGGTGATCTCTTCTGCTTTGTCGACCCGTGTGGTGACAGTACCTCGTCCCTGAGTTCCAAGGGAGTTCAGATGCGTTTGTTGTGTCTTGTCATTGAGCTGTGGTTCTCCAGGTCTGGCTCCCCTGCCCACACACCTCCAATCTTCAATGAGCCACATGTGTTTTCCGAAACAGCTCACTTATGTGATCAGGGTAGGACAGGCACCAGGAAACCTTGGAGTTCATTTTGAGATTCCCCCATGTTCCTCCATGTTATAACATCTGTTAATTTGAAAAATACAGACCAGTGTCTATGTGTAGCTGGCAGCGAGCAGTCTGAGGCCTGGGCAGGGTCTCTGCCTGAGGGGGTGGCTTCCCAACCAGTGGGATGCCTTTCAGCCCAGCCACACAGGGGCTCCTCTCTTTAAGAGACTTGAGAAGCATCAGGGAGGCCTCCTCTCTCTGGGCCTTGCTTTCTCCTGCTGTTGTAGTAGAGAGTGGGGGCCTGCTCTCTGAGCACAGCCTGCAAATCCCTGAGGAAGGCCTTGTTTCTGGTGACTTGCAGGCACAGGGCAGAGTCAGTACCCAATGGAAGGGAGGCGGCGACTGCTTTCCACTGTGTTCTGTTGAGGGCAGTGATGTTGGTTGTAAAGCCTCCCCCACCGCCAGTCAGTGCGTCACCACTAAGGCCACATTCCACAGCATGTTCAAGGATGTCTGTGTTCTCCTCCCCAGGCCAGGGGGAGTGGACACTTGACCACCCCCACACAGACGTGGCATGTGGTGGGAGGTGCCATTCAATCGCTGGGGGAGGCCAGCAACAGTGGTTGACATTACAGCTGCTGAAGAGAACCCTTCTAAAGCACCTGCCCACGCGGAGAAGTATATATATATTTAATATTTATATAATATATATAGAACCTCATTAGGTGTTCTATTAAGGCGAAGCGCAAGCTCATGGATTCCTCTCCTGGAGGACCTTTCTATCTCTCAGAGAGTCTCTTGAGCCCCATGATCTGGCTTGGTGTCCTGTGCCCGTGGCTGGAGGAGTTGGCAGGGTGTGGTGGTCCCACAGACGCTGGCATGAGCTTATCAACCCCCCTCAGATGGCACCTCCACACGCCCCTCCTGGCCTGGCTTGGCCCTGTGTGGGTGACAATGGCCCAGGCTTTCCAGAGCCTGCAGGGAGTTGGCCACACTCTTCTCTCCCAACACATCAGGCCAAGGACACAGTAGTCCTGTTCCCCACATGGTGGGTACAGCGTGTCCTGGCCCAGGTAGGCCCGCTGGGCTGGTTCAGGAGAGAATGCTCTGGGTGTCCCGGGAAATCGAGGCAAAGGGTGGGGGAAGGCGTTCTAAAGCAGTGTTTCCACACAGGAGTGGCAGACCCACCCAAGGGGTCTGGGCTGGGTTTAGGCCTTCCACCAATTAGTACAGGCTGGATGGCTTTGCCACAGGCAGGTGTCATGGCTTTCCCAAGGCAACCTGGAGGCCCATGGGGCCCCCTTTCAGCTCCTGCTATAGAGGGAAGGCACACTCCCCTCCCCGCTGGTTCCCACTATCCCCAAGCAGGACAGCTGGCTGGCTATTTGTAGGGCCGTAGGAATCGGGACACTTTGGAACGTAGCAGTTTGATAAAGGACCGAGGGAACATCTCCTTGGACTCCTGAGCTGTGTATTTGAAGTAGTTTTGTGGGTGTGCCAACACGTCGAAGAGGGCCTTGATCAGCTTCTTGTCCTGTAAGACATGGGGGACACTGTGGGACAGAGGGCAGGCAGGGGATCTGGTTTCTACCTAAACCAAATGGCACCTCCAGAAGGAACCAGGAGCTTGAGGACAGCTGGCCAGCCAGCCTTGTGCTGTCAAACCATCTCTGCACCCCAGCGCCACCTGGTGGAATAGAAGGTGTGGTGACAGCTGAAAAGGAAGAGAGGCAGGGGCATGTGGCTCCCCATTCCTGTTCTCATCCCCCTAGGCTGAGGGAACTATGGTCAAGAGACTGAGCCAGGGCCCACTAAGCCCAAGCTGATCTCCAGGACTGATTCCATTCAGCGAGAGCCGGGTCCTCCGGGCTTTGGGCTAGTGCCTGTGTGTGTGTGTGTGTGTGTGTGTGTGTCTGTGTGTCTGTGTGTGTGTGTGTGTGTGTGACGGTCAGTTTGCCCTCTATGACATGGTGTCCGGCTTGTCGAGGCAGTAGGCAGGATGAGAAGGAAGGAGTCCACACTCAATGGCAGTGGGTTGACTCCACTGATTTTGAGACACCGTCTGTAGGATCACCCATATTTCACAGACAGAAATGTAAGACCGAGGACTTCAGCCAAAGCACTTCACTAGGTCCTGGTCCCCCATCTCCCTGGTAGCCAGCTTGTCTCAAATCTGGTGGACTGGGGGTGGTGGTGGTGGTGGTGGCAGACAGTTTATATCCAGTGCGACGTCAGGGCCCTTGACCCAACACCCTCCTCCCGTCCCTTCTCTAGGGGTCAGGAGTCAGGGCAAGCGCTGGGATGGCCCCAACCATTCTCCCAGAGCCACTGGGGTTCCCTTCCAAAAAACTTACTTTCAAAATCTCCTGATGGTTCTCCGAGGCATACAAGCGCCCATCGCGCACGATGTCTTCTATTAGCTGCTGGTAGTCCTCTGGGAGCCGGCCAGCAGGAAGAGGGAAGGTGGGGGGGTGCTTGAGACCTCACACCTCCCTCCTCTGCCCTCCCCAGCCCCCTGGACCCTCCTTGGACAGCTGGTGGTGGCTGGATGTAGCACTGTCTCTTGGCCTTTGCTTCTGGGGTCCCCTCCACCTGCTTTGTCCTCCTGGTGGCTTAGCTGACCCTATTTAGCCTTGCAAACCCTGGTGGGGCAGGGCCATCCGTGAAGTCCACAGACAGCACCAATGGTCCCCTCTCTCGCTTGGACCCCTCACCCCTTGAGTTTCCATATTGCCTAGATCTCAGTTCTGTCTCTGGGTTTGCGCCCTGTCAGAGGCAGGGATGTACAACTCATTTCTGAGTCCCCAAGCCAGGCCGTGGCTGGCACAGAGTAGGCTGTGACAAGATGGCGGAGCCTTACCGTCATAGGTGACGTAGGGCACTTGAAACCCTTTGCCACTGTTGGCTTCGTTGGACTTGAACTGGATCCAGAGTTTTCGGGAGCGGGAGGTAAAGGCGATGGGCCGCTCGTAGGTCTGGCAGGTCTCATAGGTGGTGACTGACGTGGGTGAGGCTGCAGGGACACAGGCCTTTTCGGTGCTGCCTCGGGCCAGACCCCCACCCCACACCGGCCCCTAGCACTACAATACCCAGCTCCTTTGTTCCACTGGCCCACCCCGCCCTTGACCTTGCTCTGCAGGCCTCAACCTCCTGTTTCCACACCCTGCCCATAAAGTCTCTCTGCCTCCCTCAGGCTCATGGCTCCTTCATGACAGGGACAGCAGACCAGCTCAGGAGATTTCAGCATGGACCAAGACCACCTGAAGCTCAGGTTTGGAAAGTTCTCTCACCTGGGGTTGGGTGACAAGGGTAAGCTCTGGGCTGCCTCCCCAATGCGTACAGAGAGGTGCCTATGGGTGATCAGTGGCTGGTGATGGGAATGGATGGAGGAGGGAGTTCCAGGCTGGGCTCTGACCAGCTGGGTGGGCTTCCTGCTCCTTCTGGCTGCAACCCTCCTTTAGCACACTGGGGCTTTTCTGGCCAACCAGAAACTAGTATATGCACAAGGCAACAAAGCCACACAGGACCCGTGGCAGAGCTACTCCCTTTTCCTCCCACCCGTCTTCTGTCTGCAGATGGTCTAGCTCCAGACCAATGGTGTAGTTTTGTGCCTTGGACTCACCTGCTGTCTGAGTCCTGCCCCTTCCACCAGGCGGCGCTAAGCCAATCTGGAGAAGGGCATGGGCACATGGGCCGTCTGGTCTTATTACTCCAGCCCCCAAACCCAGAACATACCACTCTTCCTCATGACCAGGACATCACCACATTCGTCCTCGATGGGTAGGAAGATCTCGGGGACCACAATGAGGATCCTGCGCTTGGGGGGAGGCGCGATGTGCCACACACACTCGGCATTGGCTGGGTAGTCTCCAGGGTAGTTGGGTGACTCGATATAGCCTGTGTAGTCACCGAGCTCGCCACCACAGTGCTGGTCTGTGGGTGCCACAGTCAAGTGATTGGTCAGGCTGGCTGCATGGGTGGTCTAGCCCTAAAGGCAGCAGAGGTACAGGGCAGGGCCAGCAGGTGGTCCCCGTGCCAGCTAGTCAGGCCCTGTGCTGACTCATGGGGTGGGGCAGGCGGGGGTCCTGACTGGACTGCTGTCGTCTAACCAGAGGTTGGGTTCCCTGGCACCCAGCCCAGGCCTTTCTTTCTTATGAGCCTCCCTCACCGGACACAGGCCGCTCTGTGTCTATGTGTCTTGGTTTTTATCATCCTCAGTGTTCTGTAGGCTGCCTACTCCCAGATAGCTTGGCATCCCAGCTGTGCCTCAGGTTGAAAGGTCAAATGAGGCCTCACTTTGTATTTCTTGACATTTACTTCTCAGCCCCATTGAACCCCTCCAGGCCCTGGGCATAGTCAGGCAGGGCAGTGCAGGGGTGCACGTGCAGAAAAAAAGCAGGTGGGCTATGCAGAGAACAACAGTAGACCCAGCCTTCCCATCTTCTCCTGCCACTATTTTCTTTTGAGCCATATGTAGTACAGATTGGCTTCAAACTTGATACGAAACAGAGGATGGCCTTGAATTTCTGGTCCTTCTGCTTCCACCTCCCAAATTCTGGGATTACAAGGTGTGTACCACTAAGCTAGGTCTATGTGGTGCTGGGGATGGAGCCTAGGGCTTCTACCAACTGAGCTACATCCCTAGCCTCATTTTAAATTAGTGAGTTTGTTTGCTCAGTGTGTGTGTGTGTGTGTGTGTGTGTGTACTCGCGTGCGCGCCATGGTTTGCATATTGAGTCAGAAAAGACAACTTCCACTATTTGGCTCCCAGAGATTGAACTCAGGTCCTTGGACTTGGCAACAGTTGCCTTTGCCTGTCGAACCACCCTCCCTCCCAACCTTTTGAGACAGGATTTTCACTATGTAGGTCAGGCTGGCTTTGAATCTTCTGAGTGCTTGGGTTACAGGTGAGTGCCTTCCCAGCTTCTTTATTTGCTTTCCAACTCAACTGTTCATCTAGAGAGGCCAGATGTAACTTTTTGTTTGCAAGACAGGGTTTCTCTGTGTAACAGTCCTGGTTGCCCTGGAACTTGCTCTATAGACCAGGCTAGCCTGCAACTCACAGAGATCTTCCTGCTTCTACCTCCAAGTGCTGGGATTAAAGACATGTGCTACCATGTCCGGCTGTAATATAACATTTTATGAGCCAGATGGTTCCTACTTTTAAAATTACCACTTTCGTTCTTCAAAGGGAATTGAATATAAAAGTAAACATTGGTAAATTTCCTGTGCATTTTCACTGCCAAGTTTCTGAAAGCTGGGTGTGGTGGCACATGCCTTTAAACCCAACATTCAGGAGGCAGAGGCAGGTGGATCTCTATGAATTCTAGGTCAGCCTGGTCTACACAGTGAGATCCTATCTAAAGTTTCTGAGAAAGAGTTCTGCCTCCAGTGTTCTAGAATCTTCCATCACATCTGGCTTCCCCACCTTTACTCATTAAAACATTTTTAAGTTAAATTTTCAGTTAAATATAATATTTAATTAATATTTAAAACAATGTGTCTGAGGGTTGCCTCCTTTGTATTTGACAGATATTGCAGAGGGGCAATGTGGCAAGGTTGGGGACAGACCAGACAAAGGAGTGACCAAACAATCAACTTTTTTAGGCTTCTTGGTGGTTCCAGATGTGACCAGCAGCCAGGGGAGGAACTAAGAACTCATTGGGGGAAGGGTAAAAACTAGAAACTCAGAAATATGCAGGCATGATGGCACACACTTTTAATCTCAACACTCAGGAAGCAGAGGCAGGTGGATCTTTGTGAGTTTGAGACCAGCTCAGTCTACATAGCTTGTTCCAGGCTAGCCAAGGTTAAATAGAGATCCTGAATAGAGAGACCCTCAAAACAAAACAAAACAAAAAAACCAACCAAACAACAACAGCAACAAAAACTCTCAGAAATGAGGTAAAAGCCCTAATTTAGCATCCTGTTATACCCAAAGACTGCTGTGTAGACAAAGGCCAAGCTGTCTGCGCCATGTTTTCCTTTGGAACCCACGTCTCTCAATACCCAGAGGTCTATCAGGTCCTCCTCCAGCCCTTCCACACTGGTCCATGCTCAGTTTCATGTTTTCCATTGCTTTCAGGCATTTGCATGGTGCCAGGTGGCTTAGGTGATGTGTGCCTTGTATAGCTGAAGGCCTGGCACTTGGTAGCTGCCTCACAGCCTGCCACCTGCAGGCACAGAGTCCGCTTTCTTTCTCTGTGTACCCAGAAACTAGAGCAGGGTCTAGCCTGGGCTAAGGCTTGGGTAGTGTCAAGCATGCATGGGGGATTATGATCTGTGGTGCAGTCACATTTCCTGTAGACCGTGCAGAGCATGGGCTGCCCCGCCTTGCCAGGGGCCAGAGGTCTCCTCTCCGAAAGCAATGCCAGGTCTCACTTCCCCCCTTCCCCATTCATTCCCCAGCATTCTCAGCCCCAGCACCCCCTCCCGCCCCCCAGAGTGTCACTTACTTTTGCAGTGTGTGACATTGGTGGACCCATCAAAATCGGTGCTGGTGTTGCCCGGACAGGTGATGCAGTGGTTCTGGCCAAATTCAGGTTGATAGGTGCCCACAGGACAGCGGATGCACCGGTGGGTGGTGGTGTTGTAGTGGTGGCCAGGAGAGCAGTGCACTGCAGGGGACATGAGGGTGGGTGCTGATGCGCCCCTAAGACCTCCTCACCAAAGAAACCTCTTTGATTTTCTTTTCACCATTATGGGGTAAGTGAGGCCAAGCTGTATGTCTCACGGCGACAGCAAGGAGGACCTTCCAGGTATGCTGTCCACACCAAGGACGTGTGGGGCCCTAGCCATGTAGCAATGATGTAAGGACCAAGCTTACTTGAGGGGTGCAATGGGGGTGACAGTATGGCTGGAGGGGGTTCAGGGCAGGAAGGGAGGGAATGTGGAGAACTACTCCAGACATTTCTACAAGTGAGTGGGAATGGAGCCAGGGTTGGACCTGCGGAGCTCTGCACCTGGAATTGAGTGGGAGAGGACACAGGGCAGCCTGTGTGTCAGGGGACCCTCTGCCCACGGCAGGCTCTGTGGCATCGAGGGGCCAGCCACCTGGCCTTGGCTAGAGGCACAGGGTCACAGAAGGCCAGTGGGGCAGGGGAGTGGAAGGGAGGGTCAGTGAGTGAGGAGGGGACGTCCTGGGTACAGAGGAGAGGGGAAGCCTGGAGGGCAGCTGAGGCTGCTATTTCTTTCTTTTTCTTTTTTTTTTTTTTTTTGTTTTTTCGAGACAGGGTTTCCCTGTGGCTTTGGAGGCTGTCCTGGAACTCGCTCGGTAGACCAGGCTGGTCTCGAACTCACAGTGATCCGCCTGCCTCTGCCTCCCAAGTGCTGGGATTAAAGGCGTGCACCACCAACGCCCGGCGAGGCTGCTATTTCTACCCTTGAGGCTCCTCCGCTATGCTTCCCTGAATATACACCCCTGTCCTCTTCTCCCATCATCCTCTTTTCCTGTCTAAATCTCCCTCCCCCCCTTTTTTTTTTACGAGACAGGGTTTCTCTGTATTGTTTTGGATGCTGACGGTCCAGCCTGGCCTCCTCGAACTCACAGAGATCTGCCTGCCTCTGCCTCCCGAGTGCTGGGATTAAAGGCGTGAACCACCATCACCCGGCTTAATCTCCCTCCCTTTTAAACAGCCCACCTACTCCCTTGAGGTGCTGGTATGCCCCCTTCTTTTGACATTTCTGGTGCTCAGCAGGCTTGAGTCTAGCTGCTGTCTCTTTTTTGGTGTGTGATATGGTACTGGTCACCCATGTCCAGACTCCAGATTGCCGAAGTCTCTAGAGCCCTCCTCTGACTTTGGGGCTGGCCTTGTGAAGTAGGAAGTGGTGTCAGGGAATGTGTCTCTGAGTGGCTGGCCCCTTACCTTTGGCCTCACAGTCCTGGAAAGAGGCAGCCCCGGTGTTCTTGGTGAGCAGCCCACCTCCACAGGGGAAGCAGCCGGTACGTCCCGGCTCAGGCTGGTATGTCCCCACAGGGCAGGCCTGGCAAGGCTTGAAACCATCCACCGAGTAGTAGCCTGGAGAGCACTGGCCTGGAAGTCAGAAGTCACGGCTCAGGTAGGGGAGGGGTGCTGCGGATATGAGAGGCTGTCCCTGCTCTCCCTCGAAAAGGTACCCCAGGGTGGGAGGGAACAAAGCTTGGGTTGGGGATGCTAGGCTCCAGGTCTTGAGGCTGACAGTTTACTGTGTGGTCTTGCCAGCCTGACTTCCCACCTCTCAACAGCAGCATTGACTGGGGCTAAGGAAGGAGGAGCCTTGCTGTCAAGCTGGGGTACAGAGGAGGTGGTGTGTTTGGGGGTTCATACCCCAGATTCCCAGGGGCACACCTCAGATACTCACAGAAGGAATAGCTCAGGGCCCTAGGCTAAGCTGTCTGCTCTGTCAGCAGGTCAGGCCAGAACAGGGGGAGGAGGGTGGGAGGGTCTCTGAGAACCAAGGGACTGACTCAGACAAATTGGGACCTCAGGAAAGCCATCCTGAGCTCAGTATTCCCTCAGACATGTGTGTTCCAAAGTGGAGTGGGTCTAGCATCCTCTTGATCTAGGTATGAGATTCTCAGCTTCTATCACAGTGGAGACTCCCTCTCACGGCTGCCCTGTGCTTTAATAGCTACCATTTCCCAGGGATCACATCCCTTGGGGGTCCAAAGGATCAAGGAGTAGCTGGCAGCCACAGGTGCTCTGTTGGGCCCTGGGCTTTTGTGCCCTGGAGAAGGCTTGGAGGTGTGCATTCCTTCAGGGCTCTATTTACCCACCCTCCTGGACAGTACGCATTCCCAGGGTGAGCCCTTGGTGCGTGTTCTCTAAAGCAAGCCTGGCGTGACTCAGCAGGAGCGGCCAGTGGGGAACTCTGACCTCACATTGTAGAGGAGCTGAGTGGGGGGTAAATGGCAGGGCTGTACATTAATACAACCTCCTCTGGTAAATTGAAAACTGGCTTCTCAGATACCAACAGGGCAAACCACGGCACGTTAAGTTCTTTACTCGGAGTTAAGTTCTGGCTGACGTTGATCTGGCTTGAGTGGAGTGTTTCGAAGACCTGGAGTGTTACTTAAGCATGTGTGTGCTCTGTTACAGGCCACACCTTGGTCCATTCATGACTGTGTGTGCACACTGCAGGGCCTTCCTTATGAGTGGTGACGATGTGGCTGGCAACCGTGTGGCTTCAGACAAGGTCACAGTTTATGACTGTACACGGCATTTGCTTTCTCTCTGGGAGCCTCCTGAGGGGATGCTGAGCCCTGCCCAGAACCTGTCCCCACTCAGCCCTCCCCCCTCCAGGTGAGTCATACTCGCCTCCACATTCAGATACATTGCGGGCACCAGCCAGACCCAGCCCTTCACTGCTGGGGCATGGCGTGCAGCTGAGCTGGCCCTCCATGTCCTGGTAGGTTCCTGACACACACGGCGCACACTGGCCCAGCTCGCCATTGAAGTAGGTGCCAGGCGCACAGGACACTGTAGAGACAGTGAGAGACAGTGGTCAGGGGCCATCCCCCGTGTGCAGCGAGGACACAGCCCTTATTGCTGGGGCTAAGAGCCTCTCCAGAAGAGTGGAGATAGGGAGCCACCCAGGTGGCAGCCCTCTGTGGGGACCCTACAGGCTGGACCCTGCTGCTCCTTCTTACAGTTCACGCAAATGCTTCACCACAGCTGGTCCCTGGGATCCATCGGGACTTGTGTGTTTCTCTGGTCTACATCCTGCCCTCGGTCTGAGTTTCTGGTCTTTTATCCAACATCCCCGTTCCCTACATGTCTGTAGCAGGCCTTCCAATCCCAAACCACCTCTTCCTTTCCTGCCTGTTTGGGTGAGCTGGCACCCAGGGACACAAAGCAGTATGGACCAGTAGAAGGCCTGGGTGAGAGGGTCTGATGGTGAGCAGACTATCGTGGAGTACCACAGAGAAGCAGGGCAGCGGAGAGCCAGGGTGAGGGCTGTGGAGTGAGGGCTGTGGAGAGCCAGGGTGAGGGCTGTGGAGAGCCAGGGTGAGGGCTGTGGAGAGCCACCGAAGATGCTCATAAGGGCTGACTAAGGGCAAAGAGAGCCACGTTCGTCACTGCCAGAGGTGAGTATAGATATGTAAAGGGGAGGCTGAGGAAGTGGGACACATGGGTAGGGACTGCATTTTCATCTCAGACACACAGACATAGGCAGACAGACAAACGGATACACACATAAGTACACACACACACAAAGACATGCAGACACAGATGAGAGATGAGAGAGAGAAGGGGGAGAGAGGGAAAGGAAGTGAGGGGGAGAGAGAGAGAGAGAGAGAGAGAGAGAGAGAGAGAGAGAGAGAGAGAGAGAGAGAGAGAGAGAGAGAGAGAGAGACAGGGAACAGGGAACAGGAAACAGATGCTGCAGTCTGTCCATAGCTGGAATAAACCAGTTTTTAGTTTTGTTTTGTGTGACTAGGTTTCTGAAAACTGGCAGTGACTCCCAGATAAGGAAGAGAATGTTATCACCAAGCCCAGTGTCCCTCACGGAACTTATGCACATGTGTAGATCATATTCTTTGTAAGGAGCTCCTGACGCTGTTTCTGCTGTTTCTTCAGGCCGGTTCCACACCTCCCGGGGTGCAGGGTGGGAAGTCTCTGCATGTCCTCAGGCCCCTCCCTCTTCTTTGACTTTGTGGGTCAGTGGACGAGTCCAGGCTTGAGTAGCCATATCCTTGGAGCCCTGGCCCCCACCCGAAGCTCTCTCTAGACACCCTGCTCCTCTCCTGATGCTGAGGCGCCTGCTTCCAGGCGTCTCTCTCCCACACTTAGCCTTCCTTCCGTGGTCACCTCCGTGTGCTCCGCATCAAGGAGACAGGGTACACATAGGGCATGTCGTGTGGGACTTAGGGTCACATCTGTGGCTGCAAGGCCTTGTCCTTTCAGCTTTGTCTTGCCTCTGTGTGCATCACCTGCTCACTGTCCATCATAAGGACCAAGGCTCTGCCTGGAGGGCCACCACCCAAGCCGTGTGCTGGCCCTGAATCTGTTCCCGAGAGGCCACCCACAGGCCATTCCCACGGGAGTCCCCCGGGGTCTGGCTGTGGTTACCGTCTCCAGCCGTTCTCCTATATCTTTCTGGGCCTGGCCTCCCTGCTTCTTGTGTGGTAGCTCAAGGGGCCAGGAAGAGCTGTGCTTCTCAGCCCTGGCTCAGCCTCCCAGGTCCTCAGCCCGAGGGTTGAGACCACACACCTCCTTCTCCTGAACCATACTGCAGACTAGAGCTGGCCTAGTCAGGTCCCTGGGAACTCCTGCCTCACTTCCGGGACTTTGCTGTGCTGTCCTGTCCCCTCTTCTCAGGGCCACGCTGAGGACCCAGGTCTGGTCCAGCACCAGAAGAGAAGACGCACGCTCTAAATGGCAATGACAGCAGCAGATACTATGCTCTCCTCCTTGGCAGACCAGTCCCTCGGTCCCTGCCACGTGTCTGTTTTGCCTGTATGCTCGCCGCCATTTAATAAGTTACCAGTGTCAGGAAGGGGTAGAGTCAGTGTCGGGGGGCCAGGAGCAGGGACTCACCACACTTGCCATCCTGTAGTATTTGGCCTACGCCACATTTCCCTGTCCCCTCCAGTGTCTTGGCTGGCCGCTGGGCCACTTCATACTCAGTGCCCGAGACCTGGACGTAGAACTGGTGCCGGCTGATGGACTTCCGCAGGGTCTTGATGGCCGCCTGCAGGCTCTGCTCGGCACGCTTCCGTGTGCAGTCTGCTTCACAGGTGTCTGCAGGGGTGAAAGGGACCCAGCGAGAGTAACGGACATGCTAATGGATGCCTTAATTTGCTGAGGGCTCCCCCAGGCCAGGCCCTGTGCTAGGCTTCTGTTTAAACCAGCTCAGTACGTTCTCACATTGACCTGGGTCCGTGTGGAGTAGGCAGCTTTAGAGGTGTCTGACAGAAGCAAAAACTAAGAGGCACGGCCTATCCAAGGCTACAAAGAAGGCCTGAGTCTGAGTAAGGCCTCTGCCTATTCTTGAGGACTGCCACTGTCTCCAAGGTAGTGTCCAGCTCTGCTATGGCTAGATATAAAGTGTCCTCCAGGACTCAGGAGACGGCTCAGTTGGTAAAGTGCTGGCTGACATGCAATCATGAGGCTCTGAGTTCTGATCTCCCCTATCCCTAGTACCCACATAAAAACCAGGTGATATGCTGGGCGGTGATAACACACACCTTTAATCCCAGCACACTGGAGGTTGAGATAGGCGGAGCTCCGTGAATTCGAGGTTAGCCTGGTCTACAGAGTGAGTTCCAGGATAGCCAAGGCTACACAAAGAAACCCTGTCTTGAAAAACAAAACCAAAACAACACCACCAAAACCCCCAAACCAGGTGATGTGTAACCCCAGCACTGGGGTAGGTAGACAGGTGAATGTCCAGAGCTCTTTGGCCAGCCAACCTATCGAGGCAAGGAGCTCAACATTCAGTGAGAGACCCTGCCAGGTGTGGCTACTCCCCTTTGATCCTAGCACTCAGGAAGCAGAGGATCTGTTTTGAGGCTAGCCTGGTCTACATAGTAAGTTATAGGCCAGTCAGGGATAAATAGTGAGACCTGGTCTCAAAAAAAAAAAAAGTGGCATATTGACCTTTTGCCTTCACATGCTTGTTCTCCCCGACATACACCAGCACCCCATATTTTCTCCATAAAGGTTCCTGTACTGCAGGGGTTCCCCTTGCTGTCAGTGCTATCTTGAGAGGGTTCTGGAAACTGTAGGTGGTAGGGCTTATCTAGAGAAAGTAGGCCATGGAGGCAGATCCTCAGGGGACTCGAGGTCCCTCTCTGTCTCTCTCTGCTTCCCGTTGTCTCTGCTCCTCTTCCTCGCCACTCCCTGGGCACATCCTCTTCTGTGACCTGGATGTCTTTTCCGTTCCTCTCCCCAAACCCCATTCCCAACACTTCTACCACATTAGCTTTGATTTCAATCCATTTAGAAGGATTTCACAATCCTAGCACTCAGGAGGCAGAGGCAGGCAGATCTGTCTACAGAGATGTTGGGCCCCATCCCCCCCTGGGGTCTCTGTGAGTTGCTTGTCCACCAATAACCACAGGTGCATCCTGTTTTCTAGTCCTGGCTTACAGCCCCGGCCTTGCCCCATAACTTCTAATTATGAAAACACGAACTCCTACACCTGGGGTTTCTCCACTGTGCTGTAAGTCTGTATATAAGGCTGCTCCCTCCATGCACCCACCCATGGACGGCTTGTCTTTCATTTAAATCTCCAGACTTTTGCCTGATAACATTAGACTTGCTCATGGCACAGGCACCACACAGAGTGAGTTCCAGGACAGCTAGAGCTAGACAGAAAAACCCTGTCTTGAACCCCCAATCTCCTCAGAAAAGAAGGCTTCCGGCTCCTTCCCTGTCAAGCCATGGCTCTGCCTTTGTGTTTGCACAGCCCTTTTCACAGCACAGATGAGTTACACACATTTGCCTCCCCACAGATGAGAGTGCTTCTAGGACAGGGGCCATGGCCACAAAGCCCATGGCCCAGACCAGGCATGTACCACTAAACACAACTGCCAGCAGTAATCAACTCTGTCACTGTCTACTACTGGAGCCAGGTGGGGTGGGTGCATGCCTGTAATCCCAACATTCAAGAAGTGGAGGCAGGAGAATCAGGAGTTGAAGGTGATTCTCAACTGCATATCAGGTTTGAGGGTAGTCTGAGTTACATAAGACCCTGTTTTAGGAACAAACAGCCCAAGCCAAGTGTGGTAGCACATACTTTTAATCCCAGCTCTTGGGAGGCTGAGGCAGGAGGATCTCAGTGAGTTTGCTAGCCTGGTCTACATAGAAAGTTCCAAGACAACCAAGGCTGCATAATATAGAGAACCTGCCTCAAAAGGGCCAAATATAAATAATAATGATAATAATAAAGCAAAACCACTTACCTGTCACCCGTCACTTATAGCTAAGAAGGATTGCTTGTATGAGGCACAATCCTGTATTACAACCCCCCCCCCCCGCCACTCTCTGGGAAGAGGGCCTGTCTTAACCTTCCTGCCCCAGTAGAGTTGGGGTTCTCATGCTGTCTCTGCCCCCTAGCTATTCTCCAAGTGTTACCGAGTCGCCTCCTGCACCCAGGGCTAAAGGGCTTGGCTTGAGTGTGTAGCATGCCCCACAATCCTCTACCTCTCTTTGGCTCATTCAGCCTCATGTCTACTAGACTCCCAGCCCCCAAGAACACTTCACCCACCTGAGGCCTCATCCATCTTCATCTCCACTTCAAACTCTGCTGTGATATGGGACACCTCCTTGGATGGGGACTTGCGGCCTCGGCGTCTCTTCTTGGAGGAGTCACACTTGAGGGTCACAAAAGTCACGTGGCAGTTATCTGAACAGAGAAGAGTACACTGTCGTGTTGTGGAAGAGTGTCTTAACTAGGCAAAGATGTGTTATGTTTGTTTATGCTGTAAGAATATTACTTTAACTGTGTGAAGATTTGTTACATTTGTTTCTGCTGCCTTTGTTAACAATGTAAAGGTGTGTTACATTTGTTTCTGCTGCCTTTGTTAACAATGTAAAGATGTGTTACATTTGTTTATGCTACATTTATTTAATTATGTAAAGATGTGTTGTATTTGTTTCACCTTGCCTGATTGGTCTAACAAAAAGCTGAGCAGCCAATAGCTAGGCAGGAGAGGAATAGGCAGGGCTTGTGGGCAGACAGAATAGTAGGAGAAGAAATCTAGGCTTGGGGTGAATGAGAGAAGAAGAAAGAGAAAGAGAGGTATGTGCTTGGGGCTGGTTGGCTGGTGGACCAGCCAGCTAGCCAACAGCCGTGGAAGAAGCAGGCAAAGTAGGACATACAGAAAGAAAAGGTAAAAATTCTGAGGCAAAATGTAGGTGACGAGAAATAGATTAAGTTAAAGAAAAAAGCTAGCCAGAAATGAGCCTAAGTTATGTAGGCTGAGCATTCATAACTAATAAGAAGTCTATGTGTCATGATTTGGGATCTGGTTGGTAGCTCAAAAGAAAAAGCTGGCACACTGTGGCAAAGGTGACCTGTGTTGGAAGGAGGGTCCTTTCTAGCCCCACATGCAAACTCCCATGGGCAAGGTCCCTCCATGCCCAGGGGCCCATGGGACAGATGGGGACACTGTGGCTGCAGAAGATTAGAGCTACTCAGGGTCCCACGGGGACTGGGGGCTGAAGTGAGACTCAGACCCAGCCTTGAGTGACATATCACCACACATAATACTTACTGAAGAGGCCATGTGTCCACTCAGCACTTGCTGAAGGTTTGGCTAGGAGAACCAACACATCAGGTAAAGCCTGTTGAGGGCTGAGTTTTGCAGATTTAAGGGAGGACCTCAAGGGACCAGAGATGGAGGCTTCCCTCTTCAGCCTCTTATCATACACCTGCTTTTCTCCCACCCAAGTCCTGAGACCTTTCCCATCAGGGCTCCACCAGGCTACAGAGAAACTACTGTGTGTGTGTGTGTGTGTGTGTGTGTGTGTGTGTGTGTGTGTGTGTGTGATTTAATCCCGTGTGAGGCTGTGACAATGTGACAATGGCCTTCTAAGTGCTGCAATAGCCATGTTTCCCATTCGTGACCATTGCTTGAAGTGCAGGCCAGACATGGCTCAGAGGGCTTAGGGGCCCTGGTGGAGGACAGACAGGAAGCCTATGCTTGGCAACCCAACCCAGCAGGGCTTCGAACTTCACCTCTGCTCCCTGGGTAAGCAGGGGTGGGGGGTGGGAGTGGCTGTCCACTTACCCAGAAGGGGGTGCCTCAGGGTGTCCTTTGCTCGCTCCTGGCTGCGGGGCCGGAGATGGCACTTGGCATCTCTGATCTTGAAGCGGGCCTTCTGCCTGATGGGGGTGGTGGGGGCATCTGGGGAAAGCCAAAATTCCCCCAGGTGGCGGCCTCTCCTGTGGGCAAGGAGGTAGTGGGGGACGGGGGCTGCCAGAGGCCAGGTCCTTCTGGAGCTGGGTGGGGCTTGGTGTGGGCCATTCTGCCCCAACAGCCCTCCTGGGTGGAGGAACCTTCCCTGCCCCACTTATTTTTCTCCCTGTAAGGCCTGAAACAAGTGCAGTCATGGCTGGTGGGGTCCAACTCAAGGCCAGGAGGCAAGCAGAGTCTTCTTTCAGCAGGGGAGAATACTGCTCACCCCCTCTTTCATGGCCAAAGTCACAGACATGACTGTGCTTTTAGGAAAGAGGTCAGAGAAGGGCAAGGAAGGGGAAGGGCTTCAAATCCTAGGACACCTAGAACTGCAGACCTCTCTAGAGCAGACCCCAGAAACACGGAATCCTATGACTCTGAATGCTCATGAACTCATTCTGTGCTGTACTGGGAGCAGGCTTGGCTCTGAGAGGCAGGGACTCTAAGTGCCTCTTGAGCATAGAGTTCAAGTGCTCTGTGGGCTAAGTTCAAGGCTATCCTTTGCTACATGGCTTGTTCAGGGCCAGCCTGGGCTCTCTATGAGTGTCTGTGTCAAACAATGACAGTAACAAGAGGTCCATGGGATCACATTTTATAGTGACTGAATCACTCTACTACTGTGACCTCAATCAGAAAGGCCTCTTGTGACTCTCTGTGGGCTGGGCCTCAGCTTCCAGCCTCCAGCTTTTAGGTCCTGGCCCTGTCGTGTCTCCAGAATCCCAAGCCATGACAGGCAGGGCCCAGAATGGAAAATGTTTTCCTGGGTGATCCCACGTCTTTCCTAAATTACGCGCTGGGTGAGAAATAAAAGGGTAATTTAGGCATGCATGGTGTAGACAGGCCCCAGGTTACCTGAGCAGCTGGGCCCTGCACCCGAGCTGGTGCCATTGCGTTTCGGTGGAGTCTTGCCCTGGAGACCTGGAACACCACAGCTTAGGACGTAGCTGCTTTCTGAGTCTGTGGAGAGGCCGGTGGGTAAGGTTGACTAGGGTGTACCTCCTTCCTAGGGCCCCAGATTGCTGAGGTCTCCAAGGGGTTGCTGATTTGAAGATCAAGATTGGCTCCTGTGGAAGCTGCCCAGGTCCACAGAGAGCCCGGCAGCCAGCCGTCTGGGAGTGCTCTGTGACTGGGAACCCTGCATTGGGCTCGGTCCTGCTAAGCAGTAGGAAGCAGGTGTGTGTCCCAGAAACAACACACGGACCCATCCCATCCCAGAGGGCCAGGGGTTACCTGGCATGAAGAGACTGTGGCCCAGGCAGGACAGGAAGCAGTTCTCCACTCCACCCACCTTGCCACAGGACAGCTGAGCCTGGGCAGAGGCCTTGGACCGAGACAGGCACCCGCTCATCTCTGAGGAGAAGAGAGAGAGACAGAGAGACCTTGAGTGAGACCAGAGGACCTCTGGGTCTAGCAGGGATCTTGAATGTGGATCAGACTGTGGCAGGAAGATGCAGGTCTGTTTGGCAGTGGGTCAGGTGGCCACTGACAAGCAGCTTATTCTGTCCCCTTACAATTCTGGTCTTGACTGTTTCAGGAAAGGTCATTCGCTTCCTCAGATAAGAGCTCTTGAAGGCAGGTGTGTCCTTAGAGCATGCGTCTGGGGTCAGAGGTAGCTGCATAAGGACATGGGCATCTGGGTAGAGGGCTTCAGGGTATAGGGAGGGGTAGCACCCCCATTCAGGGGGCACCTGAAGATATCCAAAGCAGCTCCTTAGAACGTCTTCCATGGTTATTGTTAGAAGATTGAAAACATTTTATGTGTATGGGTGTTTTAGCTATAAGCATGCCTGTGTACCCAGGTGTGTGCCTGGTGCTCATAAAGGCAAAAAGAGGGTGCTGGATCCCCTGGAACTGGACTTCCAGATGGTTGCGAGCCGCCATGTGGGTGCTGGGAATTGATCTTGGGTCCTCTGGAAGAGCAGCCAGTGCTCTTAACTGCTGAGCTAGGTCTCCAGCCCCTTTTGATTTCTTTTTTAAATAATCCATTGCTTCCTTGGTGCTGAGCTCTGTACTTCATTATACAGAATGCCATTAAAATCATTTGTCCATGGGTCTGGAGAGATGGCTTAGAGGTTAACAGTACTGACTTCTCTTCCAGAGGACCTGGGTTCAAATCCCAGAACCCACATGGCAGCTCACAACTGTCTGTAACTCCAGTTCCAGGGGACCTGACACCCTCACAGAGACATACATGCAGGCAAAACACCAATACACCTAAAATGAATGAATTATACAAAATTTTGTCTAGGGATGGAGGATAACTCACTGATAAACTCCTTGCCTCACAAGCATGAGGACTCAAGTTTGATTCTAGAACACATATAAAAGAAGCTGGGTGTGACATCATGGGCTTGTAATCCCAGGGCTGGGGAGGCAGAGACAGGCGAATAGGCAAGCTTACTTGGTGAGTGACAGAGGAAGACATCTGAGGCCCTTCTTGGAGTGACCATCCACATAGTCATGTGGTGGTTTACGTAACTTGTCAAATGTACTAAAATATACTGAATTGCATGGGTGAATTCCATGCATGGCATGTGAGCTACATCTCAATACAGCTGTTGACAGAAAAGAAAAAAAAACCCAAGAGAAATGCTTTCAGCCTGAACATGCAGGAATTACACAGTTGGGTTGAGCCTGTCTCAGACCTGTACTGTTGCTACAGACAACAGGGTAAATGTTTTCAGAGAGGCATGGCAGAGTTTTTGGAGTCATGAGCAACTTTGGGGTGCTGAGAAAACAGAGCACTTTATGGTCACATCTGAACTTGGAGGACCTTGATATAAGAGCCAGAAGTCACAGGAAGTGGCTTCCCAGATCCCTACTCTCAGCTGGCTGCTCTGACATGAGTACCAAAGTCAGGGCCTCCCCTACACAGACAGTCAAATCTCATGCACCACCAGACACGGTGCCTGGTAGCGCACTGATCCTGAGAGCCAGGGGGACGATATCTGGTGAGACCCGGATGTCTCCCAGGTGTGCACCCCACCCCCCATAGATGTCTGCTAACATCTCGAAATTCCACCCTATGGAACCATCTCACAGCCAGGAAGCTTTTCCTGAGTCCCAGCAATCATCACTGTGCTGGCACCAAGAGCCCCAAGCGGATATACAGACGGATTGCAACTGAGCTTTAAGCTACTCCTGGGGCCCTTGGTGGGCAGAAACACATACAGGAAGAGTTGTTTTCTAGATGAGCTGAAGCAGTCCTGCTGAAAAAGATCTTTGCACTCACAGAAGCCGAGATAGGACATCCCGCTTCACATTTGTGGCATTCCGGAGCACTCAACAAGTAATAAACTCATTCTATTGAAGGAAATTTGTCATCAAGTGCTTAGAAATGCCACTGTCTTCATTCTCCTTGCCGCCCTGGAAGACTAGAAATGAATTTTCCAGGATGTAAGATCACCCTGGAGAAGCCTTAGCCACGGCTCTGCATAGACCGTTCCAGTGCCACAGAAACTGACTACCCAGGATTCACAGCAGACAGTTGACGTCTCATAGCAAGAGCCATGGGAAGAAGCCCACCTAGATGTCAGCTATGGCCTAGTTCCATGTGCTCCTTGGAGTGTGTTATACTTCAGTTTTATTTATTTGATTCTGTATACAATGTTCTGTCTGCATGTTTGCCCTCATACCAGAAGAGGGCACCAGATCTCATTACAGATGGTTGTGAGTCACCATGTGGTTGCTGGGAATTGAACTCAGGACTCTGGAAGAGCAGCCAGTGCTCTTTACCTCCAGCTCCACTTGAGTCTTTTTTAAATGACAGGGTCTCATGTGGCCCCATCTGGCCTCAAACTTTCCATGTAGCTAAGGAGAATCTCGAACTCCCAATCCTCCTCTCTACCTCCCGAGCTCTGAGATGACAAGTGTGCATCACTCTACCCAACTGTCCTTCTGTCTTCTCATGATGGTTACCACCATTTAGATTTAAGGTTCAACCCTTCTGATTTAACCTATCATGCATGACAACCCACCTGTACCTCACCTTTTCTGGGATAGCTGCTATCTGAATTCTATAATTAGATTTCCATCTATTGCCAGTTTGAACCACAAGCCATGCTTTTTGTGACCAAAGAGAGACAGAAAGGCAGCCTTGGGAATCCTTGCTTGTGGTTATCATCTCCTCTTCTCCAGCCTAGCGCCTCTGAGAAAGGTCACATCTCTCAGGAAAAGCTGGATAGCTGATAGCACTAGGACCAGGCTGACTGCTCAGTGGGGACTGTGAGATCTTTCCAACTTTAGGGCACTGCACTCCAACACTGAGTGAGCTGTGCTCTCCTTGTAGGAACTGGATAGACAGTGTCCTTTTGAGGGATGTAATAATGATGGGTGAAACAGATCATAGGATTAGATGGACCATTCATGGGGGTCAGGCAACCCAGAGTGCTCACCAAAAGTTTGTCCTGGGGTGGGGTGTATAATCCTAGCATTTGGGAAGTGGAAACAGGGGGATCAAGAGTTCAAGGCCAGCCTCAGCTACTGGGGTGTGGCTCAGCAGTAGTACTAGCATGCAGGAGACCCTGGGTTCCATTCTCAGGCCTGCCAAACAAATGGATACGAAGTGTCCCTCTTTCTGGGTGACAATGAAAACTTCAGCCAGTGCAAACATGGGGTGGGGCAACAGGGAGGAGCTCATCAGGCTACCTTGCTGCTATCACAGTCCTCGATTGCAGAATAACCTGGAACTTTCCTTGGCCATCTGTGGGTCTAGCATTTGCATCTGTTAGCTCTTGACACATGAGAGCCTTCCAGTACCATCTACTAATGCCCTCAGTTATACTTGTCAACCTCCATGCCCAGAGTCTTGAACATTCAGTGTCTCAGGTAACTTAAAGGAGAAAGTGGTATAACATGTCACTCACCAACACAGTTTAGCAGACCAATGGCAGTTAGTTCTCCAGCAGTGACAACCAGGCCACCAATGGTAGTCAGACCTTTTGGTGGTTTAAGTAAGGATGGCCTCCATAGGCTCATATATTTGAATGTTTAGTCACCAGGGAGCGGGACTATTTTAAAGCATTATAAGGATTGGGAGGTGTGGCCTTTTTGGAGGAAGTGTGTCACTGATGGGGGACCTGGGCTTTGATTATCAAGTGAATGAAGAGAGAGTGTCCGGTCTGAGCTTTCAGCTTTTTCATTAATGGGCGGGGGCTAAACCCAGGGCATGGTGTATGCTAGGCAGGTGCTCTACCACCAAAGTATACCCAGCCCTCTTTTTACTTCAATTTTGAGACTGGATCTCACTGAATTGTTTGAAATCATGGAATTCACTCAGCTGACCTTGAACTCACTCTGTAGCTAGGCAGGCATTGACTTTTTGATCCTCCTGTCTCAGCCTCCAGTGTATCTGGGATTTCACAAGGCCTACACCATCACGTCTAACATTTGCCTTTATGAGGCTTGCTTTGGTTGTCTAGGACATTAGAGCATGGCAGGGCAGCAACCTGGAGAGTGAATTCCAGGAGAACGGGTACATGGCGTCCCCAGAACTGTAGAGAGCTGCGAAGTGCCACACACTTAAGATGGTGCTGGCTTCCTCCTCTGCTAGCCCGATAGCAAGTGCTCTCTGTGATAAACAACTCCTTATTTGGTCAAGGCTGGATATCAGGCTTGCTTCCTCGTATGTGGACCTATCTGCTGTCGCCACATGGCTTACCGGGGTTGGCCGCCCAAGGGCCTTTTTAAGCTGTGGGCGGGCACTCCCTTGGGTCAGAAGATTTTGTTCAAGGTCCTGAATAAACTGCCTGTGAGAAGGATTCCTGAGTCGCGTCTTCCTTGCTGGTCGAGGTGGTCGTGACAGTTGGTGGCCCGTATGGGGACGCTCGTACGAAGAAAGGAATTCAGAACTCACAGCAGTCAGGGGGTGCACCGGTAAGTCCCCAGGTAAGGCGGGGATCCTCGAAAAGAGCGGGATTATTGTTCTCACCCGTAGAGAAGGGGAGAACGGTCAGCAGAGCCGCGTCAAAGCGGACGGGAAAGCAAAGCAGCAGAGCCGCATCAAAGCGGACGGGACAAAAAGAAAAGTAGTAGAGCCGCGTCAAAGCAGGCGGGATAAAATGAAAAGTAGTAGAGCCGCGTCAAAGTGGACAGGAAAGCAAAGCAGCAGAGCCGCGTCAAAGCGGACGGGATAAAATGAAAGTAGTAGAGCCGCGTCAAAGCGGACGGGATTAAATGAAAGCAGCAGAGCCGCGTCAAAGCGGACGGGACTAAAGGGAAAGTAGTAGAGCCGCGTCAAAGCGGACGGAGTAAAAGTGAAACAAAGGGTATTATTATTTTTCTTGGCCCTTTGGGTGGTATTTAATTTTATTTTTTTGGGTTTTCTTTTCACTGTTTGTTATTAAAACATGGGTAATTCCACATCCCGCCCAATTTTTCTGGCACTCAACGAGTTGCTGCGATCAAAAAATCTTAGACTATAAAAGGGACCACGACAAGAACGGGGCAAAAAAAGGACTGGGATAAGAGCAGTTGGTTTACTCCTCTCTGTAGGTAAAGAGAGAGCAGGACAAATGGTTCGTGGAGCAGCGAACCGAAAGTAAAAACATTGTTAGCTTGGCTAGCAGGGAACTCAAAGTAAAAGCTAAAAAGAAACATTAGAAGCTTAAAAGAAACATTGTTAGTTTGGCTAGCAGGAACCGAAAGTAAAAACATTGTTAGTTTGGCTATGGGCCCTTCTCAGTTGCACCCAATTTTTTGGCTCTGAATGAGCTGCTTCGTTCTAAGAATCTAAGATTTTTGGAAGTTAGGGAGAGATCTTGATTTTACATGGGACTGAGAAACAATATGGAAAATACACAAAAAGTCTGGATACTGTATACTATTGTGTTTTTCAGTTTTTTTTTTTTGATTGCTCAGGAAGGAACAACTGCTAAAGTACACTTGATGATAAATGCTGCTGAATTATTTCAAACGCTCAGAGGTGGTGTTTGGCCTGTCTAGAGACTAGTAAAAAGTTCCCTTGAGGATCAGAAATATAGTGAGGCGGTTAAAAAGGGGAGAAATGCTTTAGAACAATTACAAGAGGAGAGATCAGAGCAGGCAAATGGTGAAAAGGGAGGAAAACAGAAAAGAAAGATGTACTCAGCTCTAGAAGACTCAGAGTCTACGGACTCCGAGGAGAATGAGGAGGAACTCCAAACTATTGTCATGATCCCCATGGTATGAACAGTGCCCCCTTCCAGCAATGAAAAGGTAGATTTGCAAACATACAGACAGGATATCCAGGACAGGTGTTTGAACAGGTGGATCAGATAGCCATTAAGGCTTGGAAAATCACTGCCAAATTAAGGAGAAGTGAGTGGCAATCTTGGCACCTGGAGGCTGCGAGTGGAAAATGCAAGGATTATATGTGTTCCTGTTCAGTATGCCAATTTTACAAAAGCTACAAATTTGTCCAAGTATTTGTCCAGTTTTCTTTTACAGAATTGGTCAGATTTTGTTCAAGGTCCTGAATAAACTGCTTGTGAGAAGGATTCCTGAGTCGCGTCTTCCTTGCTGGTCGAGGTGGTCGTGACACAGAACTGCTCCCTGGTCCTGCAGAGGTTCAGCTAATCTTTTATTCGCTGAACCAATGAAGATGAGTCACCGGAACTCAGCTAGAGGAGATCGGGCTCTTGCAGAGAGGGCATGGGAAACCAGGGCTGTCTAGGCGGCAGTGTGGCCCTGTGAGGGGCTGGCAGCTGGGTGGGGATTAGGGGTGGGATTTGTAGGCCTGGTGCTGCCACTGCAACCACAGGAGTCTAGCCAGTCTACTCCCTGGAACTTCCTCAGAAGGAAGAGGACCTGATGGAGGCGGGGTCATCAATCTACCTCTTCCAGGAGGGTCCCGGGCCCAAAGTACTGATTTCACAGACCCCCCCCCAAGACCTCCTTTGTAGTCTGTCTCCTCACCGCAGGGCCCCATGTTCCTGTGTCCCTGGCTGACACCAGGCTTGCCTAGCCTCCAATGTCCTCATCAACAAAGTCTGTTTCCCATTAGTCAACCCCAGTGACAAGAGACCCCTGCCCTCTAACCCACTTCTGCAGTCACTGTGTCCCGCACCACCTCCCCCCATACAGAGGGCAGGGCCAGCAGGTGGCCCCTCTCCACTCACCCACACAGTCCTTCCGATTCCAGTGCAGCCTCCTTCCGGGTGGGCAGACACACTCGTAGCTGCCCTTGGTGTTGACACAGCCCTGCTCACAGCTGCCCTTGTTCACGCTGCACTCGTCCATGTCTGGAAACACAGGCACAGGAGTGAGGGCAGGAGGGGGTGGGAACCACCAGCCCAGGCCACACCCATAGTGCTGGAAGGGCAGGGGGCACCCAGGACCAAAGACCAGGAAGCTCCTGACCCCAATGCAGCCTGGGAGAGGTCCCCGGAATCCTGAATGTCTTATCTCTCCAGGGAAAGCACAGGCTCCTTCCCTGCCTTAGTTTCCCCCTCTGCACCAGGGTGAAAGGAACCACCTGAGCCCTCTCCTCTGACCAAAAGCCTGCTTTAGGCAAGGGATAGCTCTTCCAGCTCCAGGCCACCCAGCTGCCAGCACACAAGTGTCCTGCCAGTCAGGGAGGTGGCACAGCATCAGCATCTAGTGGTCCTCAGGTCACAGGGAAAGCAGAGAGATGTGACTCCCCTCCCCCACTCCCATCTTCACCAGTCACATTTGCCTTTGGCTCGGTTTATGTTCCTGTTCCCTTTGGTGCGGCAACCAGGGCCCTAGGCAAGAACTCTCAGGCTTGATGGCTCCCGAATCTTCTCTCCATCCCTGGCCTCTGTCCCTGACCACACCCTCACCCCAGGAGGTCTCAGGCCATGGGCTGTCTTCCTCTGGGGCTGTCTGGATCCCATACTCCCTTCCTCCACAGCCAGAGTCCTTTGTCACACAACTGTGACCATACTGCCCACTGCTTCAAGCCTTCCTGCTTTTGTGTGTGACACTGTAAAGAAGCCCTCAAGCATCGTCCTGGCTCATGCAAGTCCTGAATATGCTGGGCTTGTGTCCGCCTTGGGGATATTACCCTGTTTCCCACTGTTTGTGGGCTCACCCCCCTACATCCCCTACCCCCTGGGACTCTGCACAGCTGTCCCCTCTGGATTGCTTTCCCGTCCTGACCTAAACATTCCTCTTTTAGGATTCTCACTGTCTCATCTTCCTTTCTCTAAAGTATACTTTCTGGAATTTTCTGTGCACTGGCCACTCCCTTCTGGATTGGGGCACCCCAGGAAATGAGGTTCTGGGCTTATGCTTCCAAGTTGGCTAAGGTACCCTGTGGTGCCTCCCATACCCTGCCTCACCCCCCCCGTTCTTCTGTCCTTTACCTGTGCCTATGTTTGGCAGAATCCCTCTGTCCCCAAAGTTCCCAGCCTCGCAAGGTCCCTCCCAGGCCCATCAGGGTCAAGGTGGGGGTTGGGGTGTAGGGAGCAGTGTTGATGACCATATGGCCAGGCGCGTGCCTCGAGGGGAAGGTGGCCCTGGCGGGCGGGCTGCAGACCTCCGCAGTGGGTTGTCCCGTAGAGTATATAGCCGCGGTGACACAGGCACTGGAAGCTGCCAGGGGAATTGATGCAAATGTGGTCGCAGGTCCTCTCAAAGGAACACTCGTCGATGTCTGTGGCCACAGGGAGACAGTGTAGGCGGGTGTCAGTGTGAGGTGACTAGGTAGGTCTGCCCCCCAGTGAGCATCCCCCCCCATGGTTCCTGGGTCCCGAGGCCACAGGGAGACAGTGCGGGCGGGTGTCAGTGTGAGGTGACTAGGTAGGTCTGCCCCCCAGTGAGCATCCCCCCCCCGATGGTTCCTGGGTCCCGAGGCCACAGGGAGACAGTGCGGGCGGGTGTCAGTGTGAGGTGACTAGGTAGGTCTGCCCCCAGTGAGCATCCCCCCGGATGGTTCCTGGGTCCCGAGGCCACAGGGAGACAGTGTGGGTGGGTGTCAGTGTGAGGTGACTAGGTAGGTCTGCCCCCCCAGTGAGCATCCCCCCCCGGATGGCTCCGGGGTCCCGAGGCTCAGCATAGTCTCCCACAGTCTGTTAGGCTTCTTATTGCTCACTTTCCCATACTGCCTCCGCTTCCTGTTTCTAGGGTAGAATCCCCTCGCATCTGTTTTGGAATTGGGTGGGGCAAAGTATCATGATGATTATGGACCTCTGTTATGTTAATATCTCATTAGCCTGTGGTTAGGAAAGATATTTACATTTGCTTTAGTGTGTATGGTGTATACACATGTGTGCATGTGTATGTGCATATGTGCGTGCCCATGTGTTTACCTGCACATACATGTGGTAAATGTTGGGTGTCTTCCTCATTTACTCTCCATCTTAATTACTTATTTAAAAATGTGTATGTTTTAAATTATGGGAGCACAGTGTCCAAAGGACAGAAGCGGGCATCAGAGTCCTAAGAGCGGGAGTTACAGGCCACAGCAAGCCTCTTGATGTCAGTCTGGGAACCGAGCCCAGGTCCTTTGCAAGAACAGGTGATGCTCTTAATCGCTGAGCCATGATTCCAGTCTTATTTTTCACAGATGGGGACTCTCACTGAATGGGAAGTTCACTGTCAGCTAGACTGGATGGCCTGGAAGTTCTCTTCTCTCAGTCTGCTCAACATGCTGGGTTTTCAGGAGCATGTTGCCAAGCTTGGTATATATGTGGCTGCTGGGAATATGAAACCCTCAAGCTTGTCCAGTATGCACTTCATACTGAGCCATCTCCCGTGGGGGCACTCCCCACCCCCGTTTTCGTTTTACTTTTGAGACTGGTGTGTGTGTGCCTGTGATCTTATCATGCAGCCCAAGCTGGCTTTGAATTCCTCACTTTCCTGCCTCTGCCTCCCAGGTACTGGGATCACAGGCCTGAGGGACAGGAAAGGAACATAGCACACATGTCAGGAAGGAAAATGACTGGGACTTGCCCAAGAGCTCCCAAGGACTGGAATGGAACATAAACTCATAATATTGACCAAAGTGTGCTTTCATCACCCTAAGATGATTCTGGAGAGGTTAAGGAAAGTGGGAGGAGGGACAGGGAATACACTACCCACAAGACTTTAAAAAGTAGCGCGTGATATTTGACTATGAACTTCCTCTCACAGCCAAAGTAAAAAGAGAAAGGAGGGTCACGGGTTGCCTGCTCATCAGCCTCTCATAGAAGTTGGTACCAGAAACTGGGGCATTGCCGTGACAGACCAAGACATACTACTTGTTGAAGGACTATGGAAGACTTTGGGACTTTAGACTACAAAAGCTAGATGTTTTAAGTGTGTCTTAATGGGCCATCTTAGTAGGAGCGTGGAAGACAGTGCTGAGGGTGATTTGAACTGTGGGGGTCAGCTTGAGAAGTTTCAGAAGGGGGGAAGAATATTAATAAGTGGCTTAGAGAACATTCTTGTGATATTTTGGCAAAGAAGTTGGCTACTTTTTGCCCTTGTCTTAGAAATCTGCCTGAGGCTACATTGAAGAGTTTTGGATTAATGGCATTGGCAGAGGGGATTTCAAGATAGCCTAGTATTGATTGTGTCACATGGTTATTAGTAGTTACCCTAATGCAGTTCTGTAATGGAAAGGAACAAGCTGGGCAAAGAGAAATAGAAAACACACAGTGTGTGGGGAAAGGGGCATCAGGAAAGGTGATGTTGGAGCCAAGTCCCGAGCTCAAGGGAATAAGAGGTTTACAGAAAAGCCTGATGCTAAACAGAATAAAGGGAGCAGTGACCTCAGGGCAAGACCCCACCCAGCTTCCAACTTGTGAAAGGGAATTAAAGGAAAGCACAGGCAGGGAAGGGAACCTTCAACAAATGAAAGCTGGTACAGATGCTGTAGAACAGGGGGCCAAGTTCCAGTCCCAACCAGCAGAATTAGGCAGCATTGGTCATGGTTCTGGCTTCAGAGTGAAGAATACAAGAACGGATCGTGGTATCTGGAGGGGTGTCTAAGGAAAGCCGATAAAGGGAGGTGTGTGGCAGGGGTGTCCCTGCATGGAGACCGACAAAGGCCATTATGTGAAACTAACAAGAAGAAACTTGGATTTCACTGGAGATCCCAAGATGCTGGAGATGCCAGAGCCATGGGACACCTGCTGAGGAGAGCTGCTAGCAGCGAGTGGAACCAGCCCAAGAGAGAGTGTGTGCTGCAGTCGTCAAAGCTGGAAGGGGTTGGACATCTGAAGAGTTTTGACATCGGACATGGAGATGCAGGGTTTGGAGTTTGGAATGGCAATGTATGTTCTGTGATGTTGTATGTGGAAGTGGGTGATTTTACAGATTACATATAAGAGACTGCCTTGAGTCTCGGAAGAGACTTTGGACTTTTAAGCAGTCTGTAGACTGTGAAAGACTATGGGGACTTTTGAAGATGAATGGGATGCATTTTTGCGTTATGACATGCTATAAGCCTATGAGGTCCAGGGACTGGAATGTGGTGGTTCCAATAAGAATGACCCTCAAAGGCCCAGGTTCCCAGGGGATGAAACTGTCTGAAAGGATTATCAGGGACAGGAGTGTGACCCTGGTGGAAGAAGTGTGTCACTGGGGATGGGCTTTGAGGTTTTAAAGGTTTTGAGGTGAAGACTTTGTTCTTTGAACACATTGGCACTGACTCTAGTGATGTCATACTTAACCGAAATATGTGCTTATAAGACCCCAATGCAAGGGCAATGCTGTCCTGTGGGCGCTCAAATGAGAGTGTAAGCTCTCCTTAAGGCCTGGGAGCGCCTCCTGGGCTGTGGATGGGTCCTGCTTGGAAAGGAGAAGGGATGCTCCAGGCGAAGGACAGGGTGGGTCTAGGGAGGTCATGGGACTGTATGAGGGTCAAAGGGCACTGGAAGATGCTAGGCTTCGTAAGGAGCTCGGACTCTTCTTTGACAAACCCAGGGAGCCTTCAGATAGATGAGCTGCGAAAGGGTGGAGATACAAATGGGGCTGGGTGGAGTATGCCAGCAAGGGCCTTGGTGCAGAGCCTGAGTGTGCCTACTACTTGGCCTGTTCTCTCAGGGCTGGTTGAGGATTCAAGACTCTTGGCCAGTGGTTCTCAACCTTCCTAATGCTGAGACCCTTTAATACAGTTCCTCATGTTGTGGTGACCCCGGCCATAAAATTAATTCTGTTTTTACTTCATAACTGTAATTTTGCTACTGTTATGAATTATAATTTAAATGTCTGATCTGCAGGGTATCTGATATGCGATCCCTGGGTAAGGGTTGTTTGACCCCCAAAGGGGTTGTGACCTACTCATTGAGAACCACTGCCCTTGGCCCACCATAGAGCTTGGTAAAGTGGTGGTAAGACAAAGCTGGAATGTGGAGGAGCCTTCAAGGGCTGGCTGGCTAATGGGATCTTGACCAGCCTGCAACTGGAAAAGATGGGCCAGGATGTCCATCCAGGGGAGCAAGGCCTGGCCTGGGGGAGGGTGTGGCTGGCCTTGACGCAGTAGGCCAGGTTGGTGCTGGGTACCCTTGGCAGCCTCTTCTTACCAGGACCTAGGACTTCAGGGCTTCACTGATGAGACACTGAACTGTACTCACCAGCAGAGGCTGCCCACAGGGCTGCCTGCTCTGCAGCTATGGGGGTCTTACAGGGACAAAAGAACCTGACCCTGATAGGACAGTCACCATTAGAACTAAAGCTCTGATGCTTTTCATGGTTTCTCCCAAGTTGGTTCTCTAGGGCACCTGCCTCCTTCCCAATGGCCCTGCTCAGCCCCACTAAGGTCTCATGTACCCTGAGCTCTTTCTCCTAATGGGCCAACTTCCTGTTTGTCTTGGGAAATGAGTTGTCTAGCATGTCACCAGTAGCTTTCCCAGGAATCTCCCTGATTACCCCACTCCTGGGATGCCTGCATCCTAGGGGCTCCTGGGCTTGTCTGTGACTCTTGGCTACTGGATAACTCCAGCCAGAACCTCAGTTATTCTTGTCCTAGCAGAAGCCACGCCTCTGTGCTGGGAAAATGTCTGTGATGTGCAATGCCTTCCACCAGGCGGCAATATTGAGCCTTCAGAACTGGGCTGCCTGCAGGAGGAAGGCATGGATGGGAGGGGGAGTGTGGGTGGGTCCCTCTCTGGGCCTTAGTTTCCCATAAATATATTTCAGATTAAGTCTCACGGTGTAGCCCAGTCTAGACTCAGTCTTACAACCATGTCCCAGCTGGAACTGGGGCATGTACCACCATGCCCAGCACTTTCCCCATCTATAAAGCAGACAGGAGACAGGGTTGGGTTGTGTGGCTCTAAGTCATGAAGGGCAGGTAGGAAAGAGCAGGCACCAAGTTCTGGAGAATTCTGTATCCTGAGCTACCCAGTTTGAGTGCTTCCCTTTCCTGCGAGTGTACAAGAATCCGGAAGACAGGAACACTGACCACGGGGGCTGACTGTGAGTGGCACCTGGGACCTGGTAGGTGCTCACCTTGGCATGTCCGCTCATCCGTCAGTAGCTTGTGGCCCTTTTGGCAGCCGCATTCAAAGCTGCCCACCGTGTTTCGGCAGAAGTGGTCGCAGCCTCCGTTGTTCATCAAGCACTCGTTGATGTCTGAAGAGGTTGGGGAGGGGAGGAGGCTCAGATGCCACGGTCGGGATGGCCTGGGGAAGGGGTAGTGCCATCCTGCCTTCTTGGCCTTGGCCCACCTGCTGCTCGCTGCCTAGGGCTGGCTTCTGGTCACAGATGTGAAGAACCTGGGTGGAAAGCTAAACCCCAGTCCCCCAAGGTCCCTGACTTCCCCTGTGATTGGTAGCCCTGGTAGCTTGTTTTAGGGTTCAGGAACCAACAGGGACAGTGATGGCTTCCATGTCCCTTTACCCATCTGAGGAGGCATTCTGGAAGGAGTGAGGCTGCAGTATTGCTGCCTCCGGTGACTTGAGATAGTTATGCCCCCTCTCCCATCCCAGGATGAAGATTAAAAAGGGTCCCCACAACACAGAACAGGCACCATGATGAGGATGACAGAAATCACATCTCTAAGGTGCTGGGGCTTAGGGGTGTCAGTACACTTGAGGGGCCAGGTGTCACCGCTTGCTGCCTGCTGAGGAGAGTCTGTGGAGGGGGAAGAACCTGGGGGGCAGCGAGGCTTCCTCAGGTGAGTGAGGTCTCTGGCTTGACCTGTTCTCACTTCAGCAGTTAGAGAAGTGAGACTATCCTCCACTGGCCACTGACCCCATCCCAGGCCATTAGCGATGCCCCTCACATGATAAGCCTCATGAACAAGCTCGCCAGTTGGTTCCAGCTCACATGTTTCCAGTGATCGGGAGCCTTCTCCTTCCGAGAGTGGGCTTCTGGCAAACACTTCAAGGATGCCTGTCCACATCTGTGAGCCCTTTCCATTCATGCCTGCCCACCTGAACCCTGCTGCTGCCCGCAGTGGGACTCTTGACCCTTTCCACAGAGAGTGCCTCAGGCCTTTGGAGCTTCCCTGTTACCCCTTCTACCTGAGCCTGTCAGTGAAGGGACTGTCACAGGGTCAGAATGAGGAAGAGCTCAGGCTGGTGTAGCCAGCTAAGTGGAGGTAGTGGGAAGGCCGCTCTCTCCAGCATAGGATCTAGTAGGGTCTTGCTGGCCTCATATGGCCCTCAACTTCCAATGAGTGCCCAGAGTGCAACTTCTTTTTCTCTCACCTTTCCCCTTCACCCTGTGCTCCCCTCCCCGCCATGGCAACCAGTACCATCGCCTACAGTCTGTCAAGTGTGCTGAGGCCTCTGGCTTCCCAGGATGAGGGCCTGGATTCTCACAGCTCTCCCCGCTGCAGCTGGGTCTGGCCTCAGGGATCCACTTCCCCTGCTGAGCCTCTGCAGGCTCTGCCCACCACACTCCATGAGAACTGTCTCAACCCCACCACACTCCATGAGAAGCTGTCTCAACCCTACCACACTCCATGAGAAGCTGTCTCAACCCTACCACACTCCATGAGAAGCTGTCTCAACTACTCTCTTGTCATGGATCCTGTTCTTGGGGACATGAGAGAGCCCGAGGGACAGAGACTTCCTGGGAATGTTCACAAAGAGATGAATGACATCATCAGTAGCAAGGCAAGGATCCCAGACAGCAGTGGGAGCTGAGGGCACAGAGACTCTGGGCCCAGGCTGATGTGTATGGGGAGCCCTGATGGGGTGAGCCCCGGGAAAGCACACATCAACTCCCTCTTCCCTGATGGGGTGAGCCCCGGGAAAGCACACACCAACTCCCTCTTCCCTTCTGCTAACCCACTGGGCACAACCTGGCCACCTGTGGGGCCAGCGAGAGAGAGTTTTCAGGTGGGTAAACAGGGAGGCCATGTGCTGGGCTGGCCTGGCCGGCGAGTCAGATGAGGAGACCTTTCCCACTTGGATGAAAGTCCTGGCAGGTGGCCTGCTTGGCCCAGGGCATGGGAGAGGAGGACAAAGCACAGGCAGTGGGTGGGGGCTCTCCCAGGCCTTTCTGGGAGACGGTGGGGGGAGGAGCTTCAGTATCAGAAGCCACGATGCCCATCTGATAGCAAGTGGCGCTGTACCAAACAGGGAACCTAGGGCTGGCGGCCTAGAGCAGAGCTGAGTCTGGGGTGAGCTCCCCAGGCCCTTGGCCCCCATGCTTGGGCGAATGTCCCACCTTCCCACCCTGCTTCCACCTGTCTGCTGCTCCGGCGGGCCCAGGGCTTTCCCAGCTGTCACTGCTCCCTCCCCGCCCCCACAGCCACCTGTTTTGCCTGATGATGACTTGTGGGCTTTCAGAAAACACCGAACCTTTGAAGTCATCCCTTTGATATTGTCCCCGGGACCCTCGCCAAGATCAGAGCGTGCACCTGACTAGTGAGCTAGAGCCCCAGAGTAGGCCCTCGGTTCACTAGGAATCCCCTGTTGGCTTGTGCTGCCCAGGCCCCTGAGCCCTGCTGGGAACTCCCTAGCCCACTGTCAAGAACTCCACAAACCCCACCCCTGGGGTCTGTGGTGCCACCTGGCTTCTTGGACTTGAAGATGTCATGATGGCCGTGTTAGGCACTTACACACGAGTCCCACCCCTTCAAAGCCAGTAACATCCATAGCAGAATGTCAACTCTGCTTTCTCCCCTGCCATGGTCATGTGGCCCAAGCAATGCCACCAGAAGCCTTGATGCTCCTTTAGATTCTGCCCAGAGGCCAGGCAGTGCTATGAGACCTTCTCAAAGTGACAACCCGGGCCTGTGCTTGCCCTACCTAACCTTGCCTGGGGCCTGGCCAGCAGTCCCTGGAAATGCTCTCAAGCCCTGTGCTGGTGAAAGCCACTACCCTCCCCCAACCACCTTCCACCTGCAGCTCATAAGGACTTCACCACGCACGGGCAAGATGCTAGTGCGTCTCTACAGCAGAGACTTACTTACGTCATCTCGGCAACCCCTCCTCCCAGCACCTGAACCCAGCAGAGCACTGCAGTTACAGGAGAGTGCTGGCCCACTCCAGAAGTCAAGAGGGAGCAAAGAGTGACTCATGTTCATGGAGGAGCTTTGGCCAAAGGCTGGGTTAAAGAAGGGCCAACCTGGTTAAAGGGCCCAACCATCTGAAGAGGAGCCATGTGAAACCAAGAAGCACTAGGGGCAGGGACCAATGGGTCTAAGGCTATGATGTCTCCTTCACACCTATCTTCCCCCAAATGGAGTACACAACAGGACATGGTTTGGCTACTGGCATGGCAGCAGCCCCTCTCATCTCAGACCACATGCGGCCCGGGCCCTTTCTTGCTAGATGAGTTGACTCTCAGAGTTGAGCAGCTGGTCTATGTCTCTCTTCCTGACCACGCTGGGCTCATCACAGGAATGAAGCTCCACACAGCACTCATGTCCAGGGTCAGCCTATGCCTCTGAGGGTACAGTGAAGCCTGGGTCTACCCTCTGCTAGCCTGGGTAACGTATGAGGGCTGGCTTACTGTGACATCATGGGCTGCGAGGAAGACAGTGGGGACTGCACCCAACCTCCTCTCTTGCATGGCTGCCCTCCACCTCAGCCATCTTCATTCTCACCTCCAGACTCCTCAGTTTCTATGCCAAAGTCCTTTTGCTTCTGGTTGAGGTCCCCTTCTACATTTGTGGTAGCGACACACAATGATGCACGCCCTGTACCAAGCTGTCCCTACCAGCTCAACACTAAAGGCCACGCAACTGAAAGCCAAGGGTCGGGCCACACACCATTCCTGGAGTCGAAGGCCCAGAAATACTCTGTGGTTTCCGTTAGTTCTTAAGCCACAGGCAAATTTTATGGCACCAGGACCTTCCTGACCCAGGACACTACAGGCGTGCCACAGTACCCTGCTGGGGAGTCTTCCTTTTCTTATCATCTCCGACGACCCCCGTAGTTGCCAGCTGCCTTCGTTCATCTGCCCGCCAGCCTGGTTAACAGGACCCAGCTGTGGGCCTTCTGGCGCCAGGCAGGGCGGTACCAACGCAGCCCATGTGCTGACCTTTGCATGTCTTTCCATCCGGCTGCAGCGTGAATCCAACTGGGCAGCTGCACCGCACACCAGTGGCCGTGTCTTTGCATGTCCGGTCACAGCCTCCATTGTTCACTGCACATGTCTCTGGGGAGGGGAGGGGAGAGACAGAGATGCTCAGTTTCCCCAGGAACCAGCTACAATCTTTTCCCATCAGTGAGAGCAGGAATCTAGGCTCAAGTCTCACCTGTGGTACCCTGGCTGTTGGGATACTTCCTGAGCTAGTGCCGGTCCCATGGAAATGTCTGCAAATGACTTAGGGCTGTACTGGGGTAAAGGTTACTCACGGTGGAGGTGGGGGGGTTCACTCTTAGGATCAGTGCTGAGAATAGCCTAGCAGCTGCTTAGTGGTGTTCTAAATCTTTGCTCTGCTTGGGTTCAGTCACCCAATCCTGTTAGTGACTGCAGTAAGGCATGGGGGCGCCTAAGCCCAGCCTGGTGTAAAATGGCTTTCCGGCCTGGCCATAGGGCTGCACATCATCCATCAACCTAGGGACCTCCCCAGCCTCACATCTGTTCTCACTGAACCATTTACCAAAGCGTCTGGTTTTTGTCCACTTGAAGCCTGTCTAGTGCTTTTTTCCCTCCTCCTGCAAAATTCAAAGGGGCCAGAGTGGCTGGGGGCATAATGGAGGTCACTGAAGCTGCTGTGGGGTGAGAGTGAGCCTCTGCAGGCCTGCAGAAGACGGGCAGGGCTGGCTTTCCAGGATGTGGTGGCTCGCCCATCTCTCTCCCAGACCTCTGGTCATCTGCCACCTGGCTTTCTTCATGAGCACCTGGGAGGCTTGGCTCTCGGGAAACAGTGGCTGTGTGAGTGGGCTTCTCTGACATTTTATTGTGGGGCAGCTGAGCACTGAGCATTGCTCTCCACAGCTTGCACTACCCTCACGCCTCCAACTTGCTTCACCTGGTGCCTGTGGCTATGGCCCCTTTCCAGGAAGGTTCTTACTCAATTCTGCAAATGTCACGGGTCTCCTCTGCAAAGACTTTGGGAATGAGCCTGAGAGAAGGGATGAAGGGAGACTCTTTCCACACAGCTAATTCCATCAGATTCATGGTGTCTGGCCTTTGAACTTTGCCTCAGAGAGGGCAGGGGTGCCAGCAGAGGGACAGAGGCCTAATATCCTTGTGTGCAAGCTGATTGTGTGTGTGGATGTCTGCAGAGGCTAGGCAGTCCCTAAGGACCGCGTCTTTTTTCTCAAGACCAGCATCCCCACTAGCCATCGCCATCCAGGAAGAGCTATGGTGGCCACTAAAAGCAGATGTCTTTTCGTCCTAACACTCTTCTTGACTGGCCTCTCTGAGTTTCAGGTTAACACCTCCAGCCAGGGATAGGAAGTTCCTGTGAGTGGGTTTCTTTGTGTCATTCAAGACCTATTTCCTTATCCTTTATGATCCAAGCATCTCTCTGAGGCCCTCCCCTGAAGTCTAAGCACAGTGAAGCCAACCTTCCTCACACTTAGGCAGGTGGACCCCTGTGCCAGCATGGACCAGTTCTAACTGGTTTGTAGCCTATGTGTAACCTCTTATCTCCTCACGGGGGCATCTACTGGGGCAGTAGGGTGAGGTGGGAGGCAGTCCCACACCTGGCGAGTGAGAAGATGAGCTTCTTCCCCCCAGGGTGAAGGTGAAGATCAAATACACTCACCACTTGAAAGCCATAAGGCCCAGGTGTGGACCAGGGGGTGCTCACCACATGTTTGATTTCCTGGGGTTAAACCAGAGGGGGGGGGATCCTGCCGCCCACCCCGGCGGAAAGCCTGCCAACCTTTCATGTGGGGCGACCCTCTAGAGAGGGGACAGAAAGGCTACCTGTCTCCCAGGTGTGGGTAATTACAGCTCAGTAGTACTGGGGTGTGGGGGAGGGGCAGGTGATGCCAGCTGGGACTGGGTGGACCCTGGCCCTCTCTGGTGGTGGAGGTGGGATTCAGGCATTCGGGACCGTGTACTTGGGAACCAAACCTCATAGTTTGCAATCTTCCTTTCCCTTTGATGAGACTTGAAATTTAACTAAGGAGGACTTGGAGACCTGCTGGCCCCATCTGCCCATTAGATAGATTGAGGCTGAGATGGGGAGTTGGGCTCTGGCAGTGGTCACCCGTTCTTGCAAGTCATTCTCTCCCATGCCAGGCTTTCAGGCCTCCTTGCATTACCCAGCCGATGGCCGATGCAGGGACTTCAGGCTCTGAGTCCCCAGTGACCCAGTAGGGTCTCTGTCTGTTCTTGGGCATCAGCCCCCGAGCCCACAGCATCTCATTATAGTGATCACGAGAGACCGGACCCTCTCGGTGTCCTCCATGTCTCACAACCCTGCCTTTCCGGTTCCTGGACCTTACTTCCTCAGAGGGGAGCCTAAGCCCAAGCTGCATAGACTATGTGGCAGTGGTGTCTGGGATCTGCCTGGCTGGACTAAACTAAACACACAGTTTCCTGGGCACAGGGTCTTAACTAATGTCCTTTAACTGCCTCTGCCAGACCAGCTCCAGGGGCCTGTGCAGTCACACACACAGCTAGACACTACCCCTAATTGTCCGTGTCTACCGTAGACAGGGAGCGCTCTACTCCAGGAATGCTTTTCTATCCAGTCCATTGAGTCCGAGCCTCTCCCCCACCTCCCCTGGGACCTGGTCAAACCGCTTCTTCAGAGCTCCCAACTGTAGTCTCTATTTTTACTGTGGTCTTGATGTCACTGTCCTATGATGTCACAGCCAAACAGTCCCTCCTCTAGGCCACTGCCTTGCTCTGAGTAGAACAGCTAAATGCTGAGCAATTTGGTGGCTGACTTGGCCTCCATGGGCCCTCACCTCTGCCTTCTCCACCTCAGCCATATAATTCTGGGTGAAGGATACCACAAAATGTAACATGTGTAGAGCCCACCAGGGTCCCCTGTGGGACACAGGCTGGCAGGGTGACAATGAACATCCTGTCTTTAGAAGTTTCCAATTGGAAGCCCTGGGCACTGCCAAACGCATCATTGGCAATGGAGCACGGCACAGCTCTCATCTCTGAGGACCTTGCAAACAGCTTCACCTCTGTCCCCCAAGACTAGAGACCGCCTAGATCTGACGTTTGGCCACTACTGTCTCAGATAAACTTGAAAGCATTTCTCTTTGCAATGGGTGGTAGATGAAGTTTGGAGTCTGTAGCAGTCTATTCCAGGGGTTGGGCTCCTCCTGTTTCTCACCTGGTGGCCTTCTCTGGTCCCCATCCCAGTCACTGAGCTGGGGCTGGTGAACAGGTCAGCCCAGGAAGGCCTGAGTCTGTGCACCAGAACTGTGGTGCCAGAACTTAAGGGAAGAGACAAGCTCATTCGTGATCCCATAATTCATCTCTCTCTGTGTCCTGGCTCCAGCTGAGAACTACTGGGCTCTTTCTAATGTCCGACCTCTCCTGCGAGAGAACTACCCTCCAGAGGCACAGCTCTATTCCCCCGAGAAGGTGCCTTCTCATCCCTACCCTCAAAAGAGCTCAGAGCAGTCCAAAGCACAAGCAGACAAAAACCAGCCCTGTTGCTTTTGTGGAGAGAACTGAGGCTCGGAGAAGGAGTTTACTCAGGTGGGAATGGCTGCCTCACTTGTGACTCAGTGAGAAGTAATGAGGGGCCTGTGTTCAAAAATGATTCAGAGCCGGGCACTGGTGGTGCACGCCTTTAATCCCAGCACTCGGGAGGCAGAAACAGGAGGATATCTCTGAGTTCCGGGCCAGTGTGGTCTACAGAGAGTTCCAAGACAGCCTCCAAAGCCACAGAGAAACCCTGTCTGGAAAAGACCCCCCCCAAAATCAGAATTTCCAGATAGAGACTTCAGGGCACAAATCAGTTGAGGGCCCATCTCAGGCCAGCCCCGGCGACTGGACAGTCACAGAGAAGCAGCCTGTTTGTCCAGGTCACATAGCTAGGAAAGGAGATAGCCATAAGATATCAGGCTAAGTAAACAGGACTAGTCTTAGAGGTGGGGTTTTGATGATAGGTTCTCAGGGAGGCTCAGTGAGGAAGCAGGAGGATGGCCCGAGGCAGGTGAAGTCTGGACCTATGGTGGCGAGGCTCTGACAGAGGGAGGCAAGAACAGACCTGCTGCTGTCTGGAAGCAGCCCCTGTGTAGGCTCTGCAGGCTGGCACCACCATTGATCAGCAAGTTCTCTGAAGGACAGTCTTACCCAAGTGTGGACCATACTTGAGCTTTGCAGTCAGACAGTTTCCATGTGTACATGGACTGTGTAAGCTGCAGTCAGTTTCCATGTGCACATGGACTGTGTAAGCACAGGAAGCCCCTTTGCACATGGAGACTGCATCTATGTGGCTTTTGAATGGCCCAGATACACGGGTAGGGTTGTATAGATTGGTCTATAATTGTGACCACTTCACTCTTGGTGCAGAGTTTCAGACCTTCGGCACATGGAGGCTGGCACCCATTGCCCATGGCTGAATCATTTAATAATCCTTTCCTGAGGGTCTGGAAAGATGGCTCAGAGGTTAAGAGCACTGGCTGTTCTTCCAGAGGACCCGAGTTCAATTCCCAGCACCTGCACCACAACTCATAACTGTCTATAACTCTGGTTCCAGGGAATTGGACACCCTCACACAGACATAACCATAAGCGAAATGCCAATGCACATAAAATATGAGTAAATAAGTAAATAATAAAAACAACCCTTTTCTGAGTGGCTCTGAACTGGGCAGATGTGCTTGGGACCCCAACCCTGGCCTCACAGACACCCTAGTCTAGTGGGCAGTGTAGAGGCCAATAAGACAGTGCTTTGGCAATGAGTGAGGAGCCACAGAGATAAACTGACCTACCCAGGAGTCAGCTGCTCTCTAGGGGAGATGGCACAGGATGGAGAAGCCTTGCTTTTCCCACTGGCTTCTTCTGGGTAGCCCCTTTGGCCAAGTCAACAAAGTCACTAGGGCTTAGAAGGCCACAGTCCCATGCTTTCTGAAGCCAGCCATCAAGGTAACATTATGTTTGGTTGTCCCCTCATCCACCACATGGGTTCAGGAAGAGCCATGCCTGGGTGATCAGCACAGGCCCAGCATGGTGGGGGCTGGCTCCTGTTTATCACGCAGGGACTTGGGATGTCCCTGAGAAGTA